TCTCTTAAAATAGTAGGCATTAACTAGATTGACATAGCACAACACACGTTTCAGAAATGTCTTGCGGGTACACCCGTCTGCACGATAGGCGCGCACGTCGAGGCTAATAAGGCGACAGCGCCACTGGCGCACGTGGCGACGAAATCGCCACAGGCGCGCGTGGCGACAAAATCGCCACAGGCGCGCGTGACGACGAAATCGCCACAGGCGCGCGTGGCGACAAAATCGCCACAGGCGCGCGTGGCGACGAAATCGCCACAAGCGCTTGTGGCGACGAAATCGCCACAGACGCGCGTGGCGACGAAACCGCCACAGGCGCGCGTGGCGACGAAATCGCCACAGGCGCGCGTGGTGAAATCGCCAGTGGCGCACGTGGAGTCAAAATCGCCAGCGGCGCAAGTGGCGCCAGTGGCGCTCATGGCGCCGAAATGGTCAACATCGCCACTGCCGCATGTGGCTACGAAATCGCCAGTGGCGTGCAAGAACCCAGGGGCGCGTCCATCGGAAGTCGGTACCAGCAGGCATGATGGCGAAATCTCCAGAAGGCGAGATTCCAGTGGCGCGCCAGAGACAAACTGGCGGCAGATGCGCTTCTGATGTTGAAATTTGCCAACGAATAAATTATTACTTTGCATATGTTCCCACCTCTTCTTCGTTCCTATCTTCGATTCTTGTTCGTCTGCGTTTTTCTCTCATGCTATTTCTTATTTTTTATCGCAGTAAATCGGTGCGAGGCAACTACCTTTGGGTCGCCATGAGAGACTACCGGCGAAGAAAGACTGCGGCAAAACATTTGGCACAACCCATGCGCTCCCGTGGGAGATTGGGACCGGGGGCCTCGCGCCAGCCGGAAACGGACCTGTGGGTCCTGTGCGGTGCTGGCCAGCGAGCTCCCCAGGGGGGAGGAGGACCGGTGGGTCCTGTGCGGTGCTGGCCAGCGAGCTCACCAGGGGGGAGGAGGCCCGGTGGGTCCTGTGCGGTGCTGGCCAGCGAGCTCCCCAGGGGGGAGGAGGACCGGTGGGTCCTGTGCGGTGCTGGCCAGCGAGCTCCCCAGGGGGGAGGAGGACCGGTGGGTCCTGTGCGGTGCTGGCCAGCGAGCTCCCCAGGGGGGAGGAGGACCGGTGGGTCCTGTGCGGTGCTGGCCAGCGAGCTCCCCAGGGGGGAGGAGGACCGGTGGGTCCTGTGCGGTGCTGGCCAGCGAGCTCCCCAGGGGGGAGGAGGACCGGTGGGTCCCTTTCTGGCTCGTGAGTTTAGTTATATATTGGTCAAATACCAGGGCTAAAGCCCAAAGTGCAAGGTTTGGACGCGATCACATTTGAGTTGGCTGGTTGAACAAAATTTTGGTGAGTTTGAAATGGTGCACAACTATAGCAGATGAGTAAGAATACCAAGGGCTTAAACATTGACAGATTTACCGTACCCGGATACAAGTTGCATGCACGCTTCGTAATGTGAGCACGGTTGTGACCGCAACAAGGGTTGGGCTCCTACAAGCATCACATCCATCATTACACAGAATACTAACGCCCGCTGCCCGTGTCCTCCCATACTGCTTGCGAGTTCGTGTCCGAAGCTCACGTGTGAGCCAACGCTTATAAGTAACCACTACTGTGCTACACTCACTTAGGGCGACACTCCAATGCAACAGCAGATAATACTGCACCTCGATCAACATCGGTGCCAGCCTTCTTCTTCGCGCATGATTGGAACTCCACCGACATGTCGTCGCATAAACCATCAACAACCTTTACCGTCTCCGCTGCATCTCCCCGTCTCATGTCTCGTTGCCATTGCAAACGCAAGAAAGCAAGCTTTCTAAATATGAATTTTTTTGAAAGTGTGTAACACTTTCTAAAAATGTGTATTTTGAAAGCGAAGCTGCTTGTAATGCAGCAATGGCAACGGCGAAGTGCTAGACGCTCTTCGCCAACTATATAGCAGGGGGTGGATGCCATTTGGCCTCCACCCACGTCTTCGTTTGAAATTTCAAATGTCTTATTTCCCACCCACCCACCCTAGCAAAAATTGCATGTTGTCATGTGTAATGTAGGTACCATATTTATCCCGGACGAGAATGATGTAATGCCCATTTGAAACGAAGCTCGTTGCCATTGCCCATTTGAAACGAAGCTCGTTGCCATTGCAAACACAAGAAAGCAAGCTTTCTAAATCTGGAAACTTTCAAAAGGCCTGCACGCTGCAAGGATGGAGGCGAATCTCTTGGAGCCGCAGCAGCGAATCAACGCCTCGCTCGCCTCGGCGTCGGAAACCGCGTTGAGCCATTGCAATCCCACATCGAGCTGCACTGCTCTCCCTTGCTCAGACTGTTGCGGTTCAATCATTGCGATTGCGCGGACGAACGGTTTTGAGACCTCTCAAACGCGGACGAACGTTGAATTGGTAGGCGCGTCACGACTCACGACGAGAGGAGGCGTCGGTCGCGCCCGCGTTCTGTGATCCTAGTGACTAATGCAGCTGAGTAGTTCAGCAGCCTCGTGAATTTGTTTCCTGATGAAAGACCTGTCGATTGAACCGTACTAAAACCCTTTAGAAGCAAATGTCACCACAATCGAGTAAAGGGTACGCTTTTGAAGCACACTTTGATCAAGTTCAGAGTAATTTTGAGACAGTGATGCTGATAACTGAATCTGACTACCACATAAAAACAAAAACATTTTGTTCGAAAAGAAACCTGCTCTGGCACTTCACTTCATTCCACAGTCCAGATTCCCTAACCTTCTAAATTCATCAAGTGCTCTGTTAGCCTACAACGTTCATATACAATGTCTATCCTTGCCCACTTCACATAATGGACCCACCCTGGAAATTGCGCGCGCAACACGACTGCCAACCTATCGCCCGCTTGAAGCGACTGCACAAACGGAGATTCAGCACTCAACGTTTTGGAATGCTGTTGCCAACGTCTAACAGCATGAAGGTTGCGGTAGATTTCCTCTCTGGAAGCGGAGAGCGATCCATTAGGCATCATTCTTGCGAGCTCAGCGAATGTCCACGAGTTGTTGTAGGTGTTTTGGTCTTGGGGATAACTGCTCCATCTGACATTCCGAAAACAAGGAAGGGAGGGGGTGGGTGGGTGGGGAGCGAAGGGGTGGGGATGAGGAGGAGGGGGAAGGGGGGGGAAGGGAGGAGGGGGAAGGGGGGGGGGAGGGGGAGGGGTGGCAAAATACTGAACACATAGTCGTGGGTTGGAATCTAAAATAGGACTATACAAGAAGAGTGCATGTAGTGCAGAGTTCGGTTAGAGGACCCCTTACTCAGACAGCAACTTCAAGGGAAAACCTTTTGAAACATCGGAGAAAACAAACACAACGGGGTGGCATTTTAAAACCACAAGACAATACTTGAAAAACAAACAAAACAAACAAACAAACAAACGAAAAAAAAAAAATCACAAACGTTGATGTGGACGGGCAACACATCACTTACCCTTGGTCATGAGCTTCGGCTTCAACTTTAATCTCCTTAATCCGACCCTTTCCAAAATCCACAGGCTGCGAAATCACATAAGTCTCCTCCCAGTCCCCGCCACTCATCCTTTCACTACTATATGATGTATCCTTAACATTATAGTAGCCAGCGTACTCAATGATAGCCTCAATAATGTCGTCAGGAAGGGGAGGAAGTGTGCCTTCGAAACCCGTTCGGAACTCCGACACAACTTCGCGAGATTGAGAGACGGACGGGGCGAAGGAAGGGACGAGCCGCATGGAACGTGTATCTGCGTCGGACATAAGATGACGCGCTTCCGAAGAAAAGGAACGAGGAGATTCGGAGCCAGAATCAGATCCCGAAAAGGAGTGGTGGGGAGATTCAGCGGAGGAAATGGAGTGGCGCGGGGAATCTGCCCTAATAAATGTGCGACGCCACATCCCACGCCCAAATCTGAGCTTTCCCCATCGCGGACGGACCATTGCACTAGCAATGACTAAAATTAATGCCCTAGCACGGTGGTTAGGGGGGCAAGTAAGCAGTGCTGAACCTTTGCTGAAAGATTGGTGAACAATGTCCCACTTCCTCATGATATATCTCAACGATAGTCCCCATTGTCAGTTCGCGAGTTTAGAGCGCGTTACCTCCAAACTCGAAATCGTCGAACGTTCATAGATGAAGGCGGACCTCAAGAAAGGCGGACCAAACGCGTCATAGGAGGGTGATGAGAACGTGTGTGATGTGAAGGCGTGTCCCACACGGTTCGTCTGAATGCGGTTCAATGAGTCGTATAATGGTCGATAAAATACATAGAGTGGTTGAGTCGGATGTTGAGTACATGAAGAAATGTCGGACCCGAAACAGGCTTGACTTGTGTGACTTGCAATTCTCCTGCCACTCTGCTGCAGTCCCTTCTGGCTTTCACGTAAGCGCGACGTCAGGTTATACACTTCACACGCGCTTACAGTTCCTGTATCGTGGTTCAGGACGGTCTAACACGGTGAAAAGCGGTTCTCGACAATTACCGCTCTTCACCGTGTTGAAACGAAGTTTACCGAAGAGGGCGTACAAAAAGCTGTACAACCTGACGTCGCCCTAAGGGGCGCGTCACACGCATTCGTCAGGTTGAGAAAGCTGTAAAACGGCGCGGTTCACTTATAATTAAAAAGGTTGAGTAGGGTACGAGAAAACGCGATCTTCTGTTGACTACAAAATTTGTATCGTAGGAGGCCTCGGTCGAGTGCTTCTGAGCACGTTTGAGTACGATTCTGTCTGTAAAAAGAACCCCTGATCTGTGAGCTCTAACTCGAGCTCTGATACGATCTCTGACACGAGATCTGACACGAGCCACACATAACCCAAGTAACACGTCTCTGCTGACTAGGGTAACCTAACGAATCTTGTTACACGCCTTGATTGTTCCCTGTACGTTCTGTGAACTGAAAAGAGCGCCTAGGAAATCGACCGCGGCGATCATTTTGAGCAGCTACGAGTTTCCTAGCGCCATTGGGCTGTTTCAGTCATCTCTCATATGAGGATCCCGTGCCGCCATGGCGGGTTCAGCGCGGTCCTGTCAGCGCCTTTCGCGTGTGTTCCACGGAAACGTACGATCCCTTTCTCAAAAAGTTATACAGCCAGGCCAATTCCGCCAGGTTACCAGCGATTTCGTTTCTCCACCTGACGCGCCTCGAGAACGTCAACCTCCATTCACCGATTGCGTTATATTAGCTGAGACGTCCCAAGCAAATCGCCGTCTTTCTAGCGACTTGGACTTCCTTACTCCAGCCGACGCGGCGCGGGTGTTCGTTCCGCCGCTTCAACCGCGCTGCGCCGCTGTCGCGAGCGGAGGCTCCGCGGGGCTTCTGTGGTGCGGAACGCGGAGCGGCGCAAGGGAAGCAGGCGCGGCAGGATTCCGCAGATGGGCGGAGCAGCGCCGAGTGGGGGGCGTTTGGGCGGAACCCAGGGGGGTGGGTGCCGTGTTGGCGGAACCGCGCAGATATCTGCACCATATTACGGTTGAAGAGGAGAAGGTGGGGGAGGAAGAGGGGAAGAGGGAGAAGAAGGGGAAGAGTATTGGGGGGAAGGTGTGAAGGTTGGGGGGAAGGTTTGGGCGGTACCCAGGGAGGTGGGGGTCACATGGGCGGATCCGCGCAGAGATCTGCACCATATTGCGGTGGAAGAGGAGAAGGTGGGGGGAGGAGGAGGGGGAGCGGGAGGGGGGAAGGAGGGGAGGGGGGTGGGGGGATGGGGATGGGTGAGGGTATGGGGGGAAGGTGTGAATGGGGGGGAATGGGAGGACGGGTAAAGGTTGGAGATGAGGGGAAATGGGGGGGGCAGGGGGGGGGGGGGAAGGGGGGAGTACTCTCATTGTCTCATCACAAGTATGAGATCAGCTCGTAAGGGAGACAATGAGATATCGAGCACACAAGTGGCGGGTGAGAGCAGCAGAGGAAGGGGAACCTCGCATCACCACTCTCCCTCCCTTCCCCTCCCCACCCGCCATCATCCCTTTCCAACTCCCCCTTCCCTCATGCAGCCCGAGCACAGGTATTGGGGGAGAGCAGCAGTGGAAGGGGGCTTCTGTGTTCCCACCATACCCCGTTCCCCCTTCCCCCCACCATCATCCCCTCCCCACTTCCCTCATGCAGCCCGAGCACAAGTATCGGGTGACAGCAGCAGTGGCAGGGGGCTTTGGGCTCACCACTACCCCCCCTTCCCCCTCCCGCCACCATCTGCTCCCCCTTTCCATTCCCCCCTTCCCCCTCCCGCCACCATCTGCTCCCCCTTTCCATCCCCCCCTTCCTTCGCCCAGCCCGAGCACAAGTACTGGGTGACAGCAGCAGTGGCAGGGAGCTTCTACCTCAACACTACTCCCCCCTTTCCCCTTCCCCCACTCAACCCCTTTCTAACTCCCTCGGTTCTCTCATGCAGCCCGAGCACAAGTACCGGGTGAGAGCAGCAGTGGAAAGGGGCTTCTGTGTCCCTCCCACCCGCAATCATCCCCTCCCTCTTTTGAACGGGGAATCTCGCATCACCACTCACTCTCCCCATCGCCTCCCCACCTCACCCGCCATCATCCCCTCCCCTTCCCCCCCTCAATTCATGCAGCCGGAGCACAAGTACCGGGTGGTAGCAGCAGTGGAAGGCGGATTTTCGTTTTGCAGCGATCTGGCTCCCACCAATGGCGTGGGCGGCACTGCTCCCACGTGAGACAAGAAGAGAGAACGGGGAGAGGGAAGGGAGGGGAGGGGGGTGTTGGGGTTAGTGTACGGTGTGACGGCAGCAGTGGGAAGGGGGTTATAGGGGGGGGCGTGGGGGTTCGTGTAGGGTGCAAGGGCAGCAGTGGAAGGCGGATTTTCGTTCTGCAGCGAGGAAGGGGGATGTTGGGGTTAGTGTACGGTGTGACGGCAGCAGTGGGAAGGGGGATGTTGGGGTTAGTGTACGGTGTGACGGCAGCAGTGGGAAGGGGGATGTTGGGGTTAGTGTACGGTGTGACGGCAGCAGTGGGAAGGGGGATGTTGGGGTTAGTGTACGGTGTGACGGCAGCAGTGGGAAGGGGGATGTTGGGGTTAGTGTACGGTGTGACGGCAGCAGTGGGAAGGGGGATGTTGGGGTTAGTGTACGGTGTGACGGCAGCAGTGGGAAGGGGGATGTTGGGGTTAGTGTACGGTGTGACGGCAGCAGTGGGAAGGGGGATGTTGGGGTTAGTGTACGGTGTGACGGCAGCAGTGGGAAGGGGGATGTACCAAAATGCAGCGACCTTGCTCGGTACCAAAATGCAGCGACCTTGCTCGGTACCATGGTTTCAATACATGGCAGCAACTCTTAGGGACGTATACGCGGCAGCACCATACTCTTAGGCTCGGTACCATGGTCTCAATACGTGGCAGCAACTCTTATGGAAGACACCTTGAGTCGACTCAAAGGTTAGTTTACAATCTGACGGCAGCAGTGGGAAGGGGATTCTCCGCCCTTCTGCAGCGGCCTTGTTAGTGGGGTGTGCAGCATTATTGACTAGTCAACTGGAAAAAAGCCAAATAAAAAAAAACAAAAAACAAAGCAAAACAAAACAAAAAAACAAGAGGGGGGAGGGAACGTTTGGGACGAGTAAGGAAGGGGACAATCGGGGAAGGGGGCGAGTGAAGGGGACGAGTAGGGATACACCCGCCTGCCCTGCACCCTCTTGCTTATTCCCTCCCCCCCCCCTGGCCTCTCCCTGTCTCCCGCACTCCCCAACCAGCCCCATGGACTATGCAGCAACAGCAGTCGCCATGTGCACTGCTACCACTGTCAGACTGGTACGCGCCTACCCGCTCTCACCATCCCCTCACCCTACCCTCACCCTACCCTCACCCTACCCTCACCCTGCCCTCACCCTACCCTCACCCTACCCTCACCCTACCCTCACCCTACCCTCACCCTACCCTCACCCTGCCCGCACCCTGCCCTCACCCTACCCTCACCCTACCCTCACCCTACCCTCACCCTACCCTCACCCTACCCTCACCGTACCCTCACCCTACCCTCACCCTACCCTCACCCTGCCCGCACCCTACCCTCACCCTACCCTCACCCTACCGTCACCCTACCGTCACCCTACCCTCACCCTGCTCGCACCCTGCCCTCACCCTGCCCTCACCACGCCGGCTCCCCTCCCCATTTTTGACCGCCCCAGTAGGTATAGCGTGCCCCCGCCCCGTCCCATGTGCAGTGTGTGCTTCCTACCACTGTCAGGCTGGTATGTGTACGCCCCTTCTCACGAGGGCCTGCTCCCCTCCCCAATTGCGACCTGCCCAGCAGTCTGGCAGTGGAGGCAGTGCGCATGGCAGTGGTGGCAGTGCGCATGGCAGTGGAGGCAGTGCACACGAAAGTGGTTCCCTGCTCCCTGCCCCGGGTGCACCGCCACCACTATCAGACTCATTCTCTTTCCTTCCTCCCACCCTTCATGCGCCCCTTCAAACTAGCACAGAAGCTGCCACTCTCGCGAAGGATCACGAGGTGACTTTTGAGTCGACTCAAACGTCACCTCAACTGGGCGACAGAGAGGGACCCTAGTTGACTTTTGAGTCGACTCAAACGTCACCTCAACTGGGCGACAGAGAGGGACCCTAGTTGACTTTTGAGTCGACTCAAACGTCACCTAGATGCCACTTTCGCAACAGATCACGTTTCCTGCACACGCGGACAAGAAGGCCTCGGGTGCACTGCCACCACTATCAGACTCATATGTCCCTTCTCTTTCCTTCCTCCCACCCTTCATGCGCCCCTTCAAACTAGCACAGAAGCTGCCACTCTCGCGAAGGATCACGAGGTGACTTTTGAGTCGACTCAAACGTCACCTCAACTGGGCGACAGAGAGGGACCCTAGTTGACTTTTGAGTCGACTCAAACGTCACCTAGATGCCACTTTCGCAACAGATCACGTTTCCTGCACACGCGGACAAGAAGGCCTCGGGTGCACTGCCACCACTGTCAGACTCATATGTCCCTTTTCTTTCCTTCCTCCCACCCTTCTTTCCTCCACCTCCCCCCTTTTCCAATAAAACCAACTTTTCATCTCTCTCCCTGTTTCCCTTCCCCTCCTTCTCCCACAGTACCCAGACAGAAAGCAGTGGCCGCTAACACACATCGCCATTACAGTGGAACAAACCACCCCCTTGCCTCGTGAGCTGCTAACCCCCCTTTCCTTCCCACCTTTGATGCACCATGCACCATGCACCATGCACCATGCACCACTCCAAGCCCCTTGATTCTGTCTCGTGACACAAAACAGATGGGAGATTACCGGACGGCCCCCAATTGTTGTTGCGCTTAGAGTCGAGTGAAAAGTCACCCCCTGCATTTTGTCTCGTGCCACGTATCAGATGGGAGATTACCGGACGGTCTCCGATTGTTGTTACGCTTGGAGGGGCCCCTTTCCACAGAACAAAAGGAGAGGCTTTTGGAGATAGCAGGTGAGAGCACCTCAAATATGCTGTGTTGGTAGAAACATTTTTTTCTTCGGTGGAATGGAAGGATTTGTATTCAGATGTCATTTGTTGTGTGTCTGTGTGTGCGTGTTGTGCTTGCGTGTGTGCGTGCGTGTGCTTGGGTGTGTATGTGTGCGCGCGCGCGCGAGTGTGCGGCGTGCGTGTGTGCGTGTGTGTGTGTGTGGGTGTGTGTGTGTGCTGTGTGTATACAGGGAAATGCCCGGTGAAGCAAATGATGCTGGGTAAGATGCGTCAAGCCATCAAGACGACACTAGTTGACGCCTAGCCATAAGGATAGCAGTGTGCACATGCAAAAATGGCCACTATTTCTGTATATAAACGGTGTAGAAGCTTTCCAGGGCTTGTGCATCTGTGTCTTCCCTCCATTCTTTTGCTGTTAACAGGTTAAGAAGAAGAGAGGTTACATCCCAATACACTCTACTAGGGGTGTGAGGCAGCGGATCACTGTGTAAGGTGTGTCAGTATCTCAATCATTTCATACCCCTAGTACAGAAATCAGCAGTGCAGTTCTAAAATTCTTAGGTTTTCACATCACAGTATTCAATGCCACACTACCAGAGCCCGAATCCTAACCGTTGGCGCCGGTCGTACCAATCGTAGAAGAGCAGTGAGAGCGGCAGCACAAAGAAGAAGAGGATGAGGAAGGTGCGCTGGCTGCTGGCGTGGGACGCTGCTTTCTTCAACTCCTTGTTGCCCTTGTCTATTCTCTCTGATGCTGCCACTGCCTGTTGATTGAAAGGGCGTGAGCAACAAAAGGGCAGCAGCACAAAGAAGAAGAGGATGAGGAAGGTGCGCTGGCTGCTGCCATGCGTTCCTGCTTTCTTCAACTCTTTGCTGCCCTTGTCTATTCTCTTTTATGCTGCCACCGCCTGTCGATTCAAAGAGCACGAGCAACAAACAGGGTGGGCAAAGGAAAAGGGGATGAGGAAGGTGCGCTGGCTGCAGCACGTGCACGGCGAACAGGCGGTTCAACCTTTACACTAGTAGCTGACTCATTACCGTGCATAGTACAAACCCTTTAGCAGCACTCTCACCTCAGCGTACAGCTACTGGACCTGCTCGCTCTGCTGCAGCACATACACGCACAGGACCCTCAGGGTAAGCTCTCTCTCTTTATAAGCCACTGTGTTTGAAGCCCTTATCAACACACGCACCTCAGCGTACAGCTACTGGACCTGTTTGCCCTGCTGCAGCACGTGAACAGCAAACAGGTGGTTCAGATTCAGATTCTTACACTGTCTGTGTACAGCCCTTGAGCAAACACACGCACACACGCACGCACGCATGCACGCACGCACGCACGCACCTCAGCATACAGCTGGTGAACCTGCTCGCTCTGCTGCAGCACGTGCACGGCAAACAGGTGGTTCAAAGCAGCCAGCTCCATCACCCTCGCCTCTGTCTGCGCCGTGCTGCTCAGCAGCCCCCTCAACTCCTCCTAAGAGCACTCAAATCTCACCCACTGCTGCACCACATGCACTGCAAGGACCCTCAAGGCCGATTCTCTCTGCCACTGTGTGTGTGCAAAGCCCTTAGCAGTGCTCTCACCTCGGCATATAGTTGATGAACCTGCTCGCTCTGCTGCAGAACGTGCACGGCTAACAGGTGGTTCAAAGCAGCCAGCTCCATCACCCTCGCCTCTGTCTGCGCCGTGCTGCTCAGCAGCCCCCTCAACTCCTCCTAAGAGCACTCAAATCTCACCCACTGCTGCACCACATGCACTGCAAGGAGCCTCAAGGCCGATTCTCTCTGCCACTGTGTGTGTGCAAAGCCCTTAGCAGTGCTCTCACCTCGGCATATAGTTGATGAACCTGCTCGCTCTGCTGCAGAACGTGCACGGCAAACAGGTGGTTCAGAGCAGCCAGCTCCATCACCCTCGCCTCTGTCTGCGCCGTGCTGCTCAGCAGCCCCCTCAACTCCTCCTGCAACGCCACTGTCTCTGCATCCTGCATCATCTGCTCTCGCCCCCCCTGCTCCCGCCCCCTATCGTGCTCACCCCCCCTCCCCTGCTGCTCGCCGCCCTCTTCCTGCCACCCCTTCCCCCCGCCCTGCTCCCCTCCATCCCTTCCATTCTCCCGTACCCCCTTGAGAGCCTGTATCCGCCCCTGCTTCCCTAATGTGCCCTGTCCCCCGCCCTGCCCCCCTCCTTGCCTCTGTCGCTGGCTGTCTGCCAGCATCCGCTGCAGCCGGGTGGATCTCAGGCGCTCAAAGGTGGAGGAGAGAAGCTGCAGATGCTCGGTTAGGATGAGCACCTGAGAGTGAGGGTTTGGGGGTGGGAGGAGACACATAGTTTCATAGTGCGTCACCCTGTCCTCCGCCCTGCCCTCCCCCTTGCCTCTGTCGCTGGCTGTCTGCCAGCATCCGCTGCAGCCGGGTGGTCGCAGACGCTCAAAGGTGGAGGAGAGAAGTTGCAGATGTTCAGTAAGTATGAGCACCTGAAACCAATGCGGGTGGAGGGATCGGCGGGGGGTGGGAGGGGGAATGTGTGACGCACAGGGCATCAGGTGTGCTGCTTGTGCAGCCTGGTGGCAAACAGGCACCCTGCCCTCCCCCTTGCCTCTGTCGCTGGCTGTCTGCCAGCATCCGCTGCAGCCGGGTGGATCTCAGGCGCTCAAAGGTGGAGGAGAGGAGCTGCAGATGCTCGGTTAGGATGAGCACCTGAGAGTGAGGGTTTGGGGGTGGGAGGAGACACATAGTTTCATAGTGCGTCACCCTGTCCTCCGCCCTGCCCTCCCCCTTGCCTCTGTCGCTGGCTGTCTGCCAGCATCCGCTGCAGCCGGGTGGATCTCAGGCGCTCAAAGGTGGAGGAGAGAAGCTGCAGATGTTCAGTAAGTATGAGCACCTGGGAGCAAGGTGGGTGTGAGGCACGGAGGGGGTGGACGGGGACAGAGAGGAAAGCTGCATAATAGGAGGAGAGCCTCACAGTGGAGGATTTATTTTGAGACGTCTCAAAATACATCTTCATACACGGAGGGGGTGGACGGGGACAGAGAGGAAAGCTGCATAATAGGAGGAGAGCCTCACAGTGGAGGAGTGAGTGCCCCTTGTGGAGCCTGGCGGGCGGCTCGCAGGTGCTCAAAGGAGGAGGAGAGCAGGTGCAGGTGCTTTTGAGTCGACTCAAAAGGAGAGCAGGTGCAGGTGCTCCGTTAGGAATTTAGATGACTTTTGAGTCGACTCAAAAGTCACCTCAAAGGAGGAGGACAGCAGGTGCAGGTGCTCCGTTAGGAACTTATATTGATGGGTCCACGACGTGCAGTCACCATGCCATGCTGATGGGTTGTCATGTCAACTGAGCGTTTTCCCCCATGGCCCACCATGCTGGAGAGGTGCTTCCTCTGCTGCAGTGCTGCACTGCACTGCACTGCACTGCACTGCACTGCACTGCACTGCACTGCACGGAACTGCACACATGCATATGTCTAACACGCTTGCTGCATGCATGTGCCAGCACACACCCAGACATACTCACCATGCCATGCTGATGCGCTGTCAACTAAGCGTTCCGCCCCATAGTCCCTCCCCGTGAGGCCTGCTGAGGCATGCATGTATGTGCATGGTGTGTGTGCATGGATGGATAAAAATCCACATGAATGCAACACTCACCACGCCATGCTGATGCGCTGTCAACTGTGCGTTCCGCCCCATGGCCCCTCCTGGTGGGGGCAATCTGCATCGCAGCGCCTCTATCCCCTCCTTACACTCCTTCACCATGCCCCCCACCTGCACACACACACATAACGGGAGGAGACAGAGAGTACGTTGTGGTTAGTTGAAGGCAAAACTAGTAACGTGCTGCCACTTGGTGGGAATTGGGGTGGGAATTGGGATAAGGAAGCGAATACAACCAGAGGTATAAGCTCATGTTTTATGCCACGCTGCAGTATTTCTACCCCTCATTTCCTTCCCGTCCCTCACTTTCACCACAGCCACATTCCCTTGTCTGCCTCCCTGCTCCTGCTTTCATTTTATCTACCTTTGCTTCGATTCGAACGCGTCTCGTCATCTCTCCACCAACCACGTGCCCAACCACGTGCCCAACCACGTGGTCCGAAGCAGCACTGCAGCATTCCCACTGCTTCCCCTCAGTCACCTTTCATCTGCCCGCCTCCCTGATCCCTCACATTCATCCCTTGTCACTTCTTCCTGCTCCTACTCTCATCTACCTTTGACTCAAACGCATCTCGCTGTCTCTCCATCACCGCATGCCCAACCACGTGGTCAGCAGCAACACTGCAGTATTCCCACTGCTTCCCCTCAGTCACCTTTCACCTGCTCGCCTCCCTGCGCCCTCTTCATTCATCTACCTTTGCTTCGAACGCGTCTCGCCGTCTCTCCATCACCGCGTGCCCAACCACGTGGTCAGCAGCAGCACTGCAGTACTCCCATTTCTTCCCTTCCCCTCAGTCACCTTTCACCTGCCTGCCTCCCTGCGCCCTCTTCATTCATCTACCTTTGCTTCGAACGCGTCTCGCCGTCTCTCCATCACCGCGTGCCCAACCACGTGGTCAGCAGCAGCACTGCAGTATTCCCGCCCCTCGCTCATCAAGGCAGAGTGCAGCGCACGTTCGTCTGATAGCTGATTCAAAGTAGGAATGATGGGGAAGAGAAGGGCGAGGGAAGGGGGCGGAGGAGGGGAAGCGGGATAGAAGTGGGAGTAGGGGGGAATGTGTGGAGGGAGAGAGAGGTGGGGAGAAAGGCGTCTCGGCTTGTGATCGGGTGCAACATTGGAGCACTCTCTTTCCCTCGCTTATCAATCAAGGAAGAGCAGAGAATGCTAGTCTCACAGCTGATTCGAGAGAAAAGGAGCACATCGAGCACGTGGTTTGAAGCAAAGTCCCTTGACAAATCACCCTTTCACCTCCCATTATTCCCTTCTCCCTCCCTCCCTTCATCAGTCTCTTCCCCACCCGCAACCTCTCCAACACACGCCCTCCTTTCCCCCCCCTCTCCCCCCCTATCCCTCCCTTTTCTCCCCCCCTCTCACTGAACCCTACGTCACCTCCCTTTTTTCTTCTCCCCCTTCAGCCAAGGCGCACACACCACGTCACATGCCAGCCTGGCGAAGGCGTCCTTCGTGGAAGCTTCGCCGCCCCCTGAGGTGGGTTTGAGCATCATGGCAGATGAGACCTGCGCCAGGCGAGCCTGCAGGCAGCGGAGACAGAGAGCGGGAGGAGCGGGAAAGGGGAGAGGGGTGGAGGAAGGGAAGGAGGAGAGGGGAGGGGGGGAAAGGGTGGGGGGAAGGAAAAGGAGTGAGCGGAGAAGGAAGGATAAGGCATAAGAGAAAGAACGTTTTGACTCTAGAGGCACGCTAGCAAGGAAGAGTGGTGACGGGAGGGAGAGGAGGAGACGGGGAGGAAAGGGAGGGGGGGGGCGTTGGCGGGGGGGGGGGGGGGGGGGGGGGGGGGGGGGGGGGGGGGGGGGTTTGTTGGAAGTGGTTGCAGGAGAAATAGAAGAACGAGCTAATAAACACATTTCGCGCACCTGGTCGTACCCAAGCCGCACAGCGAGAGATTTCACCGTGTCGCGATAATCCTCCGTTCGATCTACGGCCATCGTGCCGCAATGCGCGAAGAATCCACTCAAGCTCCGAGGAATTCTGCGTCTAGAGGTTCTGAAGTACCGAAATGATATAGTCACGAGGGGTTATCCTGGTTCAGACAAAAAAGCTTCCGTCCTCGAGAGTCGAGAGTATCACACCGTCACCTATTTCATTCATCATCCAAAATCTGTTCACCAGTGTTATCCAGCTCGATCTGTCTTCGCTATTGAATAAATTGTGTCAAAATCGATCTGTATTCTGGACCTTAGGCAAATCGTGAAAAGCACACTTGCTTCTGGGAGGCGTTTCCACATAAAACGATCCACATGATTTTCTACTATAATATTCTGAAACATAGACATTACAGACATTTTATATATTAGCAATAAAAACGTAGAAATCTCTGGAGTGTCGATATAAGAGTTGATTCAAGACAAAGAAGATAGGAGAAAAACCACGGAAACACTGTGTTAAGAGAAATTTTGTTGTAATAAAGCGTCTTAAAAAAATCATGGATACATCAATCTACTACTAAAGCGGCTTCAAAATATTATCTGTTCAGATTTTCATTTGAAGTATCTATTTTGATGTGTAATTTGTTAACATGCATTTGAGATTTATACACCACGAATAGGCTATTAGGTCCACGCTAGCTTTGGCTTGGGGCTTGTTTGGGCTATTTGCTGATTCAGCCTGGGCACGAGTGACATGGATTGCGCTTTCCCAGAACTAAAGGTGACGTCACATCGCTCTGGCACTGTCCCAGATCCACGTGTTGCAGTGTCCTCATTCCTTGATGCCTGGCTGACCCCACCTCCGGCCCAACGAGTTTCCTCGACGATTTCTGGGATGTGCATCTGTTACAGGACGGTTACAAGGAATTCTTGTGGAACACTTTCATGATCTGGTTGGTGGTTCTGGCTCCAATCCGGAGGTTTCATTGGAGAATTCAGAGCCTTGGTGATTCCATAAAGCACATCTATCCCAAGTCTAGTTGTCCGCCATTCGCGTTTTTCATTCTTAGTCGTCGATAAGCCGTCAGCTGCTTTTTCTCTCACTGTAAGATTTTTCCCGATCATGGAGAAGGCACGCCTGAGGCAGCAGGTTATCGCCGACCACTTGAGTCCTGGTCCGGTTTTCCAGCGGACCGATCTGGTATGCTATACACGTTTTAGTTCGATACACTTGCCGTAGTGACGTTAGTTGGAAACCGATTCTGACCTAGCGGAAGAATCGTTGCGCAGGTTGCGTCACCGTGCCTTGCTGGGGACAGCGCGGGGTATGCTCGCACGGCTGGCTATGATGACGATGTCGTAATTGTCAGGTAAGATTCAGGAAAGTCCCAAAGTCTTTCAGGGTTTCACCTCTTTTGCTTCTTATTCCATCGACCTATGATATTTTCTGGTTTGTGACCGTTCTGACTGAAGGTTCTTTGCTGCTGTACAGTGCGCGTCGCTCGGCCCTTTGTAAGGCCAAACGTGGCGCCTTTAAGGACACCCTTCCGGATGACATCCTGGCGCCGGTGCTCAGGGTCAGTGCTTTCACTATTTATCAGATTAAAACTTATACGACAATTAAAACTTATTCAGCACATTTCGAATTCGTTCTACAAACCTAACATTCGTGGCTTTCATGCTAACCAGGCTGTTGTCGACGAGGCTGGAGTGAGGCCAGAGGAAGTTGGTGACATTATTGTGGGAACTGTTCTTGCTCCTGGGAGCCAAAGAGCGAGCGAATGCCGGATGGCTGCTCTTTTCGCTGGCTTTCCTGGTGAGGAATTTTTTTAGCTGTTTGTTTTGGTTGGGCGATATATGCTGTTTCTGGTTGAACTGCAATGAGATAATGATCTTGCCCCCGTGCAGATACCGTTCCGGTGAGGACGGTGAACAGGCAATGTTCGTCTGGACTTCAAGCGGTTGCTGACGTGGCTGCGTCTATCAAGGCTGGATATTACAAGATCGGTAAGTGATTCGAAGTTGCAACAGGACGTTCCAATCTTCTGGGTCTTGGTCGTTGAGAGGAATACAAACATGTAACGCTGAAAAACGAACTTGTGAGCAGGCATTGGTGCTGGGTTGGAATCTATGACGGTCAACCCCATGGCCTGGGAAGGAAGCGTCAACCCAAAGGTAAGGGATAAGCAATATGCAGTCTGCTTATTCCACTTGAACAGAACATCCTTAGGCTCACTCCAAAGATGTTGATTGCAGGTTGAGATGAACCAGAAGGCCCAGGACTGCCTTTTGCCTATGGGGATCACATCAGAGAATGTTGCTGAAAGATTTGGAGTCAATCGGAAGGAGCAAGACGATGTTGCGGTGAGTGAGGTGTTCAATATACTTTGCAGCGTGTCAGTCAACGGTAATCGAGCAGCAGCTAATGTTTTCAACGCTTGTTTTCACAGGTGAAGTCTCACAAGAAGGCTGCAGCAGCAACAGCTGCTGGAAGGTTTCGTGATGAGATCGTCCCCATCAGCACCAAGGTAAGTGTTGGATTACCAAGTTACAAAAGCAATGTGTGCATTGGTCAGACTTCAGGCGGTGGCTTATGCACTCCATTTTTGCCTTACAGATTGTTGATCCGAAGACCGGTGATGAGAAGCCAATTGTTGTCAGCGTTGATGATGGCATTCGTCCCGGAGCTACGATGGCTGACCTTGCTAAGCTAAAGCCTGTTTTCAAGAAGGGTGGAACAACTACGGCTGGAAATTCCAGCCAAGTGAGTGACGGTGCTGGAGCCGTGCTGCTGATGACCCGTGGAGAGGCACTTCGACGAGGAATTCCCATCCTTGGAGTTTTCAGGTGTGTACAATTCCAAGCACTACACTGTTATGATACTGTTTAATGTAGCTTCTCTCAGATTTTGACTTTACTGAGTCTGCTTTGACTATCGTCTACAGGAGTTTCTCTGTTGTTGGAGTTGATCCTGCTGTTATGGGGATCGGACCTGCAGTCGCCATCCCTGCTGCTGTCAGTGCAGCCGGATTGGAGGTTGACGACATTGACCTGTTTGAGATCAACGAGGTAGGCCCTGCTGCACATTGCATGCACTTATACCACTGGCAGCTTTGACTGGCTCAGCTCCTTGAACTTCTTTTGGCTTTGGAAACGGATGTTGTGATGTTCAAGTTTTTTGTTATTTTCCAGGCATTCGCTTCCCAGTTCACCTATTGTGCTCGCAAGCTCGAGCTTGATGAGGAGAAGATCAATGTGAACGGTGGAGCGCTTGCTATTGGTCATCCCCTTGGAGCCACAGGTAAGTCACTGCCATGCACGTCTGTGTATCGTTTGGTTCTGCCTTTAGGACGTTTCTTACATTCGCTGCGTCGATAATGGTTTGTTCCTACAACAGGGGCACGGTGTGTGGCAACACTGCTGCACGAGATGAAGCGACGAGGAGTCGATTGTCGATTTGGTGTCGTTTCGATGTGCATTGGTGAGTGCTAGTTTCAGTCTGCTTCCAGTCTTGTATTTTGTTGTAGTGCAATTTCAGTTGTGCATGGTGCCAGTTTTCACTTCCAGCTTGCTTTCCACGTCTTGATTCTCAGCCTGCTCTGCCACCTGTATTGAACTGTTTCTGAACTTTCCAGGAACCGGCATGGGTGCAGCTGCTGTCTTAGAGCGTGGTGACTATGTATGCCCTCTTACCAATGCCAAGCATGTGTAACCTTTATAAGCTTTTCACAGGTGGTGCTAAGCATTGTGTGGGGAGGTGTTCCCTTCTGTGTGACAATCTGATCCACTTACACCTGGTGATGTGAATACTTGACCAAATGCACAGTTGAGTTTCATACATTCCGTAAAAGGCAAGGAAGGGAAACATTCTGTGGATAGACTATTGTAGTTGCCCTGCCTTGTGGTGGATGAGACAATGTATCTGTCAAACAAACCAATGATATAACTAGATACTGTGGCACATACCATACCTAGTGGCTACTACAACCATCTTATGCAAGAATGCAGGATGCTGGTTCTTGGACTGAATCTGTTTTCTAAGAGAGGGCCCATAGATTTGGCACTGACGTATTCATCAATACAGACAGAGACTCATTCAATAGGTAAACAGTGGCGCGTTTTGCGTCCTGGCACCATACGCGCATGATGGGGCTTTAGAGGGCACGGCACACCGAATGAGTTTCCGTAAAGGAAAAAACCATGCGAGTCTCATGCAGATGACAGGTGCGTTGGGACCTTGGGAGCTCGGGAGGGGGTGGGGACATAGTCTCCCGGGGTGTATTTGACCACACAGTCATAGATGCGACCACCCAGAAAATCAGCCACCTCCTTGTGCTTCACCTGGGGAAGACAATGGGTAGGAAACAGAGAGGGGCAAGGGAAGGAAATGTATGGGCGGCAATTTAAGCAGAGACAACAGTGGTTGGTTGGAAAGAGGAATGAGTAGAGGGCAAGTTAAGGTGAGGTGAAGGGAAAGAGGGTGCGGCGATGGGGGTTATTGTGTGTCTGGCATTGGGGAGACGTATCATGCTACCAGCATCATCCTGCGCGTCACCATGCCGATGTTGAGCTTGTCACATGTCATGTGCATCACAATGCATGTCACCATCCCAAGCACTTCAGATCTCACCATGCCACCACAATTACAAGCACCTATGATCTCACCATGACACCACCATTACAAGCACTTATGATCTCACCATGCCACCACCATTACAAGCACTTATGATCTCACCATGCCACCACCATTACAAGCACTGAAAAACCCACCATGCCGATGTTGAGCTTGTCACATGTCAAGAGCGCATGCAGATTGGTCTCTATGGCACGACCCTGCCGCACAGGGGATGGGGAAGGGAATAAAGGGTACAAGAAAGGAAAGGATACCTTGTGGATAAGCATATACTGGTGACATGGTTTGAGGTCTACAATTGCAGATTCACACTCACATCACTCCACAACACAAAAATCCAAGTTTGAGAAAATCCGGATATCGAGATGCATGCATGAATCACATACCATGCCTTCCATAATGACCAGCTCAGCGTCTTCAGCAGCAAATGCCAGCTCAGGGGAGATGTGTGCCAGGTCAGCAACCTGTGCAGGAGGAATTCAGGGATGGGAGGAAAGGAAGGTGAGAAAGAGAGAGAAAGAGAGGTGGGGTTGACTAACATGAATCGTAACCGAATCACAAGAATCAGTGAAGTCGTCATGCAAGACAAGAGCCGGAGGGATACTGCAGGGGTCTATTGAAGAACATAAGTTGGGTACAAGAACAACAACGTGGAGTCATGAAGGCAAAGACAATTTATCAGGGGTCTGAACTGAACAAGAAGAAGACTCACAGGAACATCGCTGCCTGAGTTGACAATAAGGATACGCCCACTGTCAATGCCTGCGCTTATAGTCTCGTCCTCTACTGTCACTTGCACCTGATAATAGGGATGCAGACACAGCGAGACAGACAGAAAGTCAGCGGGTTGAAAGGACAACAGACAGTCAGAAGGTTGAGAGAGTAACAGAGAGAGCTTGTCAATGCCCACTGCCAGCACATGTACTGATGGTTTCGGGCCTGACTTTAATTTACTGCCACCATCAAAGAAATAAACCTTGCGTGACCGGAGGAAGACACACCTTTTGCACGAGGGAGAGCAGCTCATTGTAAGTGACGTCATTGATGGAGGGCATGTCGTTAGCGGCCACCACCACCTGTGCGCCTTGCTCGTCACACCATCCGAGGGACTGACCGCTCCTCCATAAGAGAAGCAGCACTCACCTTTTGCACAAGAGACAGCAGCTCATTGTAGGTGACGTCACTGATGGAGGGCGTGTCGTTAGCCGCCACCACCACCTGAGCGCTTTGCTCGTCACACCATCCAAGGGACTGACCGCTCCTCCATAAGAGAAGCAGCACTCACCTTTTGCACAAGCGACAGCAGCTCATTGTAGGTGACGTCATTGATGGAGGGCATGTCGTTAGCTGCCACCACCACCTGTGCGCCTTGCCTCACCAGCTCCCTCACCAGCGGCAGCACCCCCAACACGAGATCTGCTCCCGAATTGTCACAGAAGACGACCACCTGTGGGGAGTAGGGGCAGTGAGGGCAGTGAGGTGATGAGTGAGAGGAATGAGTCGAGAACATGATCCTAATTCTTCACCAGCTCCCTCACCAGAGGCAGCACTCCCAACACGAGATCTGCTCCAGAGTTGTCACAGAGTACGACCACCTGAGGGGGAGTGAGATGGGCAGGGGGAATAGGTTCGAAAACAGAACTCATTGCCTCACCAGCGGCAGCACTGCCAACACGAGATCTGCTCCTGATTTGTCACAGAACCCACCACCTGAGGGGATTGGGAGCGCAACAGAGGGGAATACAGCTCAACTGTCATTGGTTTCCACCCCCACCTGCGCTCCTTTCCTCACCGGCTCCCTCACCAGAGGCAGCACCCCAACACGAGGTCTGCCCCAGAGTTGACACAGAAAACGACCACCTGAGGGGAGTGAGGCAAGTGAGGAGAGGGAGGGGAGTGAGAGGAGTGAGCCGGGGAGTAGATGAATGACAAGGCATTTCTGGTCAGGGAAGTCAGGGAGGGTGTGTATGGGTGTATGGGAGGCGATGTGCCTTTCCCATCTGCGTCGTTCCCACCTGCTCTGTTGCCGCAACATTCTCCCGCACCTGCCCTCACGCCCTCTCCCCCATACACAAGCTCACCTTCTTCCACGTGCGGTCGAGCCACGCCTTCTGGAACTCGGCCACGTGGTCAAACACCCACGGGCGTGGCAGCAGCTGCTCGAAGCTCTTCTCGAATGACAGGCCCTCGCCCTCCACCAGCGCTGCGGACTGCACAGATAGGGTGGGTGGGAGGGCAGATGGAAGAGCACGGGTGACGCGAGACACACACAGCTGTGGATGAAAGCTTGTTCATAACGATAGCCCCTCGCCCTCCACCAGTGCTGTGGACCAAAGGAGTAGACGGCTTTTGAGACGTCTCAAAGGTCAGCTGTGGATGAAAGCTTGTTCATAACGAGAGCCCCTTGCCCTCCACCAGTGCTGTGGACCAAAGGAGAGGCAATCCGGGGGGGTGGGGGTGTTGAGTGAGGGAGGGGGGAGAAGCAGGGGATGGGGGGAAAGGGAAGCAGGGAAGCAGATTAACGGCAGCACAAAAACAGCTGCTGAAAGCTCCTTTCGATTGAAACCCCAGCATTGCGACATCTCAAGAGCATGTCACACTCACGTTGTTGGCCCTCAGGTCGCTGATGTTCCCCACCAGCACGCCCTTCACAACGAGCAGAGCAGCGCTATCCGCTCCTTTGGGAGCAGGCACCAACTCAAATGTTACACATCACTAATACAGGTGTTACAGAGTTAATCACTCACGTTGTTGGCGCCCAGGTCGAAGATGTTCCCAGCCAGCACGCCCTTGACGAGCACCTCTATCCTCTCTTTAAGGTCCTCCACCGCATCGATTCTCTTCAGCGTTGCCGGCAGCATCGCCAGCGCCTTCTCGTTCTCCTCCGCCTGGATGGGGGTTTAAGGGTTACGGTTCAGGGCAAGCAAGTCCAGGCGTCAAGAGAGAGGGGAAGCAGAAGCCAGAGTGGCAAGACAGGGATGGAGTCGGGGAGGGAGGGAGGTTGGTGAGTGAGGAAGTAAGTCGTAGAAGGGTGGTGCAAGCGCTCTTCTCTTCAGTTGAGCAAGCACAGCACGCCCTTGACGCGCAACTCTATCCTCTTTTTAAGGTCCTCCACCGCATCGATTCTCTTCAGCGTCGCCGGCAGCATCGCCAGCGCCTTCTCGTTCTCCTCCGCCTGGGTTAGGGATTCGGGTTTCGTGTTTGGAATCGTTCAATAAATTTCAGGGTTAAGAAAATCTCAGGGTTTGAGAAAGTGGGGCAGGGGAGGACAGCCTGGGCAAGACAGGAATGGAGAATGGGGGGAGGTTCGTCACTCAAAACGTTAGCATACGCTAATCAGGCTATTCAATGTGTAAATCCACTTCGAACCGCGCCGAACCGTTTTGCACTCATTTGTACCTTGGTCTTCTTGAAGATGTCTTTGAAGCCTGCCTCTGTCAAGCAGACTTCTCTCAGCCGGCACAGATTCTGCAACGGGCAGCAGAGAATAGAAAAACAAAGAGATATTGATTCTGAGGCGCCAAAGAAAAAAGAACATCGCACTCACTATGGAGGTCATTGGGCCTTCAGAAGTATAAGAGCTTGGCACATCAACGCAGAATGCCAAGGTATTCATCCATCCCATTGCCAGATTGCGTAATCTACTTACTACTGGGTTGGGAGGGCCTCCGTGGCTGCTAGGGTCCTTGGTGAAATCATCGAGAATTGCTGTGTATCTGAACACATGACGGGAAGCAGAGAGGACAAGATTGCGTATTGCGGATGGATTTGCAAACGGGGGTGGGTTGGAGGAGGTGGAGGAGGAGGAGGAGGACAGCAAGTGACAAGTACACTTTGGCTTCACAAGAAACAGAGAAGGAAGCAGAACGAAAAGAGTGCGAGGGAGAGAACAGGATTGGGAAGGTGGCTGGGAGGTAAGTGGGCAGAAGACATGAACGACGCGACTGATGACCGACTGACTGACTGACTCGCTGACTGACTGACTGACTGACTGACTGACCGACTGACTGACTGACTGACTGACTGACTGACTGACTGGCTGGCTGGCTGGCTGGCTGGCTGGCTGGCTGGCTGGCTGGCTGGCTGGCTGGCTGGCTGGCTGGCTGGCTGGCTGGCTGGCTGGCTGGCTGGCTGGCTGGCTGACTGACTGACTGACTGACTGTCTGGCTGACTGCCTGACTGACTGACTGACTGACTCACTTCTCTTCGAAGACCTTGGCTTTCTCTGCAGCGTTCTCCACAGACTCGTCGCCGGCTGCTCGCTTCCTGCGCACATGGAATGGATCACACGTAGGAAGTACGCAGCAGGAAGGCAGCAGGCATGTAAGCAGCAGCAAAATCTATACTTTCCGAAGGCTTAATGCTGCTGCTTCTGTGGCGGAACGTGTTCAACGGCGTCTGGAAGGCAACATGTGCGTCCTCCGTGCACTTCAAGGCCGGATGGACAGAGCGACTCACCCAAAGGGCTTGACGCTGCAGCTGATCGGGTCCTTGGCTGAAAGGAAACGAGTGAACCCCTCACACATGGCGGCCAGACGGCCAGACGGACAGAGACCCACCAGGGCTCGATGCTGCAGCGGAAGACATCAACCCACATGGTCTTGCTGTCGGTGAACTGGCTGGGCGGGTCCGTGGTCGGAAGAAAATTGTGAACCCCACAACATGAAGACCAGAGGGACAGAAACTCACCCGAAAGGCTCAATGCTGCAGCGGAAAACGTCAATCCACGTGGTCTCCGTGTCAGTGAGCTGACCAGGAGGGTCCTTGGCGCTGCGGAAGGGGATGGTCCAGGGGGTGTACGCCTCCGCGCTCAGCAGCAGTGGAAAGCGCTGCTATTGCTGCGCAGCCACTCCAGATCACACTCACTCACCCCCAAACAGCCAGACTCACGCAAACGGTTCAATGCTGAGGCAGACTCACCCAAAGGGCTCAATGCTGCGGCGGAAGACATCAATCCACGTGGTCTCGGTGTCAGTGAGCTGGCCGGGGGGGTCCTTGGCGCTGCGGAAGGGGATGGTCCAGGGGGTGTAGGCCTCCGCGCTCAGCAACAGCGGGAAGGGCACGAGCGTGGATGCAGGGATGGCTGCATGCGGCGCTGTTGAGTCTGCGTCTACTTCGAAGCTCTCAGAGATGGCCGGGGCCTCCTGGTCCTCCGCCTTGAGCGTGCTGAGCTTCAGCCCCTCCTTCTTGACTGCCAACATGGCTGCACTGCACGGGGGAAGACGGGAGGGGAGGAGAAAGAAAGAGGGAAGGGAATGATCCTGGGGCAGGGCAGTAGGCCTCCGCGCTCAGCAGCAGCGGGAAAGGCACGAGCGTGGATGCAGGGATGGCAGCACGCGGCGCTGTTGAGTCTGCCTCCGCCTCGAAGCTCTCCGAGATGGCCGGGGCCTCCTGGTCCTCCGCCTTGAGCGTGCTGAGCTCCAGACCCTCTTTCTTGACTGCCAACATGGCTGCGCGGGGGAGGATGGAGGAACGTCACGAGTAATGATGTGGAGAGGTTAGAGAGGACAGGAATGGCGGAACAAAATCGAGATGTGAGTCGAGTCCGCGGCAGCGTTGCCGGAAGCCGAGAAGAACCCGCGGGAACAAGGAGACCCGCGGAGATGCCACACCTGCGGAGAACAAGGGCATACGGAGGGAGTGCCTGAGTGCGCCCGTGTGTGCCCACTGCGGTCGAAGGGGGCATCGGGCCGCGGAATGCTATCAGAAGAAAAACGGTGCTGAAGGGCCGTCTAAGGAGGACAAAATATGCTTGAGTAATGACTTTCGGAAGGAATGAAAGTTCACCTCGAATGAAACATTCTGGCGACGAGCAAAATACCCTAGGCCACGGTTTCAAATTTCGCGGAAAAAGGTTCTGCGACGGTGGCAATGAAAATGCCGAAACGTGCAGCCTATCTGACTTATTTACCCAATATTAGGAACCGAGGAACTACGCATTCCGACATTGAGAGAACGCAGCTGCTCTGTACTTGGTCTATCACTCTCAGTATCCAGCATCATAGCTGGAAAACGAAGTCGGTTGGGGAAGCGTACGTCTGGCATCCAGCGTTGCCTGTCAAAACGCCTCAATAGACGTACGTCCAGCATCTAGCATTCTCAGGAATCCTCATCGATTGTGATTGCTCGGCATTCCCGCCATAAACACGTGACATTCGCGGAGAGATCCGAAAATTTGAACGAATTGTTGAATTCCACCGTAAATACTATCGAACTTGGACCAGAACATACGTTCTTTAGGTTTCTGAACGAAGAACCTGCGTACTGAGGCCAACGAATCCAGCAGGGGACGGAATACCGGTACAAGATAATAATATCCTCAACGGTTCGTTCAGTAAGCGAAAAGCCGATAGCTTCTGGAGCCAGATCCACATCGTTGCTCTCCAGAGATTTAGCACACACAGTATCGTTCGCATTTCCAAATGCTACCGAATGCTATCGCCTCATTGTTAATTGCCTCACATTTATCCATTACTGCTGAACCCGAAGAGCAGACGTACCTCCGCTGGTTTAGATAGAAGGCCTTGATGGATTCGGCAAGATTAATCAGAACAATGTCGAGTAGGAGACAGCAAGCAGCGTCAACTGCGCCTGGAGAGAATAGCAGGCGAATTCAGACGGTCAAGAACGGAGTGAGCGGAGCACACCAGTGACCTGTGGAGGCTTTCGAGGGATCTCGGATTCTTGGTGATGGTTAGGGGAGGTTGATCTAGCAGCTCCTCGTCAATCCCTATGGTACAACTACACTTCAAGGGTTTGTAACACCTCATTACGTCAGAAGTGACATTCTGTCACGACTGGATGTGGATTATGGGGAGAAAGATAGAGAGCAATATTGGAGCGTATTTATCGTACCGTATTAAGATGAAAAGAGGGTAGAACGAATAATACTTACAGTAATTGAATCATAAAACAACTATCTGATCTGCACGCGGTTAAAAAATGGGCGTAGTTGTTGAAATAATTTTTTACCATGTTTCATTTTCTTTTCATGATAGCTCTCTTGCAAATTTCCAATACATGTGATAATTGAAATATGATTTTCTGTTGAGATAAGACTTTTGGTATGATCTAGTAGTGTACTAGTATTACATTAATCGGGTTCAATAGGCAGTCAAACCCCGCTTCAAATTCGTTTGAAATCTTGACAGGCACAAGTAGGATCCTGCATGTTCCAGCTTTAGAGAAGTCGGTTTTCTAAAACGTCCAGTTGGCCCAATAGTTTGAGGCCGCACCGCGGTGGCCTCGTCCGTACTATGATCGCTAAGTCACATTATATACTGTGATATCACGGGCTTTGCTGGGCTGAGCATAAATGGTCGTAAGGTGGACGGCATATCTGTACCACTATTAGTACCAGTTCATCTGAAGGATGGTGATGTGTGATGGTCTTTCAGGCGATGTATGATTGCCCTGAGGCACCATACGAATCGAATATGGTGATGGGCGATGGTACTTCAAGGGCGCAAAGCGCGCTGGCGGTGAAGGAGATTAAGGTGGACGCGGCGACGAACGAGCCGCTGCTCTGCCATCGGCTGGAGAAGGATAACTTCCCTGTGGTGCGTGCTGCTGACATGGCGTGTGCTGCTGACATGGATTCTTGTCCTGCTGAAGTGGGGCTCGCACAGCTGACTTGGTGCTTGTCCTGCTGACGTGGGGCTTGCTCAGCTGACTTGGTGCATGTGCTGCTGACGTTGGCCCATCCGTCTACCCTTCCAACCCCACCCTTCATCCACGTGTCAGGTGTTGCGAGGAGCAGTGGCTGATTGGCCGGCGCTGACCCGATGGGACCTCATCAACAGCTCTCACGCACGGGAATACTTACAGGTGCACGACATTCTGAATTGCGCTTGTCTTTCAGGCGCCTCAGGATTCAGCTCCCGTGCAGCGCATTATGACTTACTTGAGCTGAACTCCTGAGGGGAGCCAAAGGAGCACAGAGCCACTCACCTCTGCCATGCGAGATGACTTTTGAGTCGACTCAAAAGTCATCAGCTCACGTGCAGCGGATTGTGACCCGCACAGAACCACTCACCTCCACCATGCGACTTTTGAATCAACCCAAAAGCCGCCTCACGCTGGCCCCCTTCCTTCCTCTCCCATTCCATGCAGCATGTGGTGGGGTCTGCTCCAGTTCAGCTCATCATGACGCGCACAGGGTCACTGATCTTTGCTGATCTCTGCTGTGCGCTCAGATGTCCTTCCCCTGCCTGGTCCCCCTTCCCCCAATCCACCCCACACACCTACCCTACCCCCTTCCCGCATCGATTGCATGCAGCATCTGGTGGGATCAGCTCCCGTGCAGCTCATCATGACTCGCACAGAGCCACTCGTCTCTGCTGTGCGCTCACAACAAGCACATGGGACACAATCACATGAAGCAGAGTCACATGCATCGCAGCAGCTTCCCTTGGCTTACTTCGATGGAGCATTGCGCAAGCACGAGCGGGTGAGTTCAGTCCTCATCTTTTCTGCTGTTTGTTTCATAACTTGCCTGTTTCGAATTTTGAAAATGGTTGCATTTGAATAGATCAGAACAGTTGTGACAAAAGATCACTGTGTTTCACCTATATTCCTTCTTGGACTGACTCTTCCAAGTAGCAGAAGTCTTCCAAGAATTCTCACCCTCCTAAGTCTCCTCACCCTTCCAAGAATCCCCACCCTCCCAAGTCTCCTAACCCTTCCAAGAATCCCCACCCTCCCAAGTCTCCTCACCCTTCCAAGAATCCCCACCCTCCCAAGTCTCCTAACCCTTCCAAGAATCCTCACCCTCCGAAGTATCCTCACCCTTCCATGTCTCCTCACCCACCCTCCCATGTCTCCTCACCCACCCTCCCATGTCTCCTCACCCCTCCATCCCTGATATTGCTCTTGTTCCTTACCCAGATAGCAGCTACATTTTCTGATGCTCTTGCACTGGCGTGTGCGTCTCCCCTTGCTGCGGGAGCTGAAGCAAGCACCAGGGGGAGAACCCACGGTGTTGCAGCTGCCGCTCCTGCCACGGGTACTGCTGACAGTGCTGCTCGCACTCCTGCCCCTCCGGCCACCGGTGCTCCTGGGAATGGTGCTGCTGGCAGTGCTGAGGAGAAGGGGGATGGGCACCGACTGCAAGGGGGCGAGGGGAAAGGATCTGAGGGTCGAGGGGGCGAAGGGGAGGAGCAGGATGGTGCTGGCACTCCTGCCCCTCCGGCCACCGGTGCTCCTGGGAATGGTGCTGCTGGCAGTGCTGAGGAGACAGGAGACGGGGCTCGACCGCAAGGGGGTGAGGGGAAAGGAACTGAGGCGGGAGGGGGCGAGGAGGAGCAGGGCGGTGGGTTGCAGGAGATGATACGAGACATGGCATCTGGTGCAGCTCCACTGGCGTTCTACCTCGCCCAGGTGTGAGGGCTCTAGGCTAGGCAGTGATGAGGAAGAACAGAGCAGGTCTTGAGTGAGACCATTAGGCTCTTGAGCTGCGTCCGGTGCAGCTGCACTGGCGTTCTACCTCGCCCAGGTGTGTTTCTGTAGCAAGTGAGGGCTCTAGGCTAGGCAGTGATGAGGAAGAACAGAGCAGGTCTTGAGTGAGACCATTAGGCTCTTGAGCTGCGTCCGGTGCAGCTCCACTGGCGTTCTACCTCTCCCAGGTGTGTTTCTGTAGCGAGTGAGGGTCAGTGGAGCTGCCAGTGTTTCTAAGCTAGGCAGTAATGATGAAGCACAGAGCAGGTCTTGCGTGAGACCATTAGGCTCTTGAGCTTGGGGGCATCTCCTGGCAGAGCAACTCTGTGGGAGAAGAGCGGGCAGTGTGGCGTACGCCATGGACCGTACGCCATAGACCGTACGCCACGGACCGTACGCCACGGACCGTACGCCATGGATCGTACGCCATGGATCGTACGCCATGGAGCAGAGGGGGTTATGGTCAGGGCTCTCGATTCATTTTGGGGCACGCTGCCTGATCCGAGTTGTGACCCACTACACCCTGCCTCTGCAGTGTGCCTTGGCAGTCGTACCCAAGAAATGGCAGTGTGTTTTTTTTTCGAGGTTGAATCTAGCAGGGCGGGTCCCGCAATCGACCCTGCCATTATCGATTGATCCCAGGAGCCAGAAAATATGGTCGAGGGCCTTTCTGGCCCGATTTTGAAGTGTGTTCCTCAACCGACAAAGAGGGTCGTCGTCTCCTTGCGTAAGTGCGTGGTGGTTGATGTTTTAGTGGTGTGAGGTGGGGAGATGAGAGGCCTGCCGGTGGGTCTTCTAGGTGCGGTCACTAGCGATAACACGCCGCTCTCTGTGCTAGATTGAATCTCATGTGTTTCAAGGACTTAGCCGTGTCTGGAATTTCAGTCTCGAACGCTACTGGACACATTTCAGTCACAAACGCCACTCACTGTGCTAGAGCTGAATCTCTGGTGTTTTAATTACTTAGCCGATTCTGGAAATTTCAGTCACAAATGCTACTGGACACATTTTGGCTTAGAAGAAAAGCCGCGCAGTTAGCGAATTTCTGCGAAAGGGAAAAAGTAGGCAGGGTGTCTGCCGTAACGATTCGGGAAACGGCAGTGTTGCACATAAGCGTTAAACAGAATTTGCAGGGTTTGTTTTTAGCCCTGCCTGACGATAACAGGGTGGACGCCCAGCCAAACCCATTTCTAGCAGTGTGGGTCCAAAATTTCACCCTGAAATGCAGGTCAAACAGGGTAAAACGCCCTGCTATCCTGAGGCCTGGTTATGGTACGATCCATTCCCACAACCCCCCTTTGCAACTTTCTCTCCGCCCCCCTACTCTCCCCGCTCTCCCCCCCAAACATTCTCCCCATGTGCCACGCACATTCCATGAGGAAAACCCCATCTGAGATCGCCAGTAGTCACACGGATCAGTGCTCATGAGTGAAAAGAGAAGTTTTGAGACGTCTCAAAAGTCCTCTCTTTACATGTAGCCCCATCTGAGATCGACAGAAGTCCAGCAGTGGGAAGGATTGTACTAGCAAAGAGACGACAGTCACATGGGCAGTTCCCGCGTGCATTGAAGTGTATTTTGAGGAGCCTCAAAATACACGTCACATGGGCAGTTCCCACTCACCTACTCTCCCCCACCCTCCCCTTTCTCCCCTTTCTCCTCCCTCCGATCCCTCCCACATTCTTCCCACATGCCTCACTCACATCACATCACCTATACCCGTTGCAGAATCCCATCTTGGTTTTGAGTCGACTCAAAACTTCTCCCACCTCCCATCCCTCCCACATTCTTCCCACATGCCTCACTCACATCACATCACATCACATCACATCACATCACATCACATCACATCACATCACATCACATCACATCACATCACATCACATCACATCACATCACACATACCCGTTGCAGAATCCCATCTTCGATCGCCAGCAGCCACATCAACAATTCCCACTCTCGCCCTTGCTGCAAGATGCTCCTATTGTATGGCCCCCCTCCGGCCCGACCTATTTACCATCCAATTGCGAAGTCTGTATATTAGACAACCTTTTTCCACTGCTGCCGTTGTTGCAAGCTCATTATTTTGATACCGGTTGTTAACGTATTACGTTTTCCAATTCAGCATCTGCCATTGCCTGCCCCTTTCGCCTGTCCAGCCATCGGTGCTGGATGCATCTCGCCTCACGTCGGCCAATCTGTGGATGACACTTGGCGGACCCTCCTCCTCCTCGCCTCACTACGACCTCTTTCACAACCTGCTCTGCATTGCGACCGGCTCTAAAACAGGTGAGGATGGTGGTGCTGCTGCTGCTGGTGCTGCTGATGGTGGTGGTGCTGCTGCTGGTGCTGCTGATGGTGGTGGTGCTGCTGGTGCTGCTGCTGCTGGTGGTGAGGATGGTGGTGGTGGTGCTGCTGGTGCTGCTGCTGGTGCTGCTGCTGCTGGTGGTGAGGATGGTGGTGAGGATGGTGGTGGTGGTGCTGCTGACTGCGCTGCATTAAGGATTGCCCCTCTTTTCCTCCCATCCAAGTCATTCTGATGTACTTTGAAGCTTCAAGCTACCAGCTTTTGAACAATTTCATCTCAATCTCTTCGTTCATGACACGGCTTCCCTTCTTCCTTCTACTATTCCTTCCTGCCACATGTAGAGAGGGTGTTTTTGAGACGTCTCAAAAACACCCTCTCTAAACGTTCCTGCCACATCCTTTCCGAACCAGAGAAGCTTGGCTATGGTGCCATTTCCCGTTTCCTGTCCTTCCTTTCATCCCACTGCTGATTCCGTCCCCATGCATCTCTTGGCACCCCACCCGACCACTCTCTACCACACTGCACCAGGACAGGTCGTCTATGGCCCCTACCAGCAGCTCAAATTTTGTTTCTTTTCCCCCTTCTTCTCAAATTACTCGTGCTCTCCCCCTTCCCTTGATACCCTGCTTAACCGCACCCCATTCCTCACCTCCGCACCCCACCCCTCCCCACCGCACTGCACCAGAGCAGTTCGCCTGTGGCCGCCATCTGCTGGACCCCATGCCTCTGTACTCCGAATCATCCAATCACGTGTCAGCACCTGTCACCCGTCCTTTCCTCTTTCTTGCTTGAGTTGAATCAAGTTCTGAGGCATCTCAATCTTCCCCTCTCTCAAACTCTCTGCCTTTCTTTCTTTTTCTGATCATGTGTTCGTATTAATCTTCCTTCTCTCTAACCGCCCCCATGGGTGCCTCTTCTGCCGCTGCTGCTGCCTCTGCTGCCGCTGCTGCCTCTGCTGCCGCTGCTGCCTCTGCTGCCGCTGCTGCCTCTTCCTTTTCTCCGCTAATTTCCTCCATGCGTGCTTTTGTTCGAAGTAAGCTTACAGAGCAGCTGATATCATCGCATTGTTCCCTTATGTCTCCACCTCGTGTCCCTTGTCCTCTCGCCGTGCAGCCATCCGCACCAGTCACGTGTATGAAGATTCGTTTTGAAAAACAAGGGACAATGAAGATTTGTCACGTCTCGAAGCAAATCTTCATACTTATGTCTCCACCTCGTGTCCCTTGTCCTCTCGCCATGCAGCCATCCCCACCCGTCTCCTCTCCATCTCTCCTCAGCAACAGCAGCTGCAGCAGCCACTGCCTACCCCTCACCTCTCCATTTCCTTCCTGCCTATTCTCCTCCCCCATCTCCTGCCTCTGTGTTCTCTTGCCATGCAGTCATCCCCACCCATCTCCATCTGTCCCCAGCGGCAGCAGCGACAACAGTTAGCAACTTTTGAGTCGACTAAAAATTCCTTCCTTCTTTGCCATTTTCCTCCCCTCTTTTCTCTTGCCATGCAGCCATCCCCACCCGTCTCCGCTCCATCTGTCCCAAGAGGCAGCAGTGGCAGCAGCCACGGTGACTCTTCATGCGGGGGACGCGCTCTTCCTGCCTGAAGGCTGGTGAGCGGTGGGAGGGGGGGAGGGATAGCATGTCCTGCTGCTGATACTACATGGTTGCTTGGATTAGTGGTAGCAGCAGCGGCAGCCATGGTGACTCTGCATGCAAGGGACGCGCTCTTCTTGCCTGAAGGCTGGTGAGGGAGGGAAGGGGGGGGGGGGGGGTGATGAGGGCAAGAGGTGCTAGTGCTGCTGGGTATCTGGCAGCACTGTGACTCTTGATGCTGGGGATGCACTCTTCCTGCCTGAAGGCTGGTGAGCGATGGCGTGGGAGGGAGGGGGTTGCGGGAATGAGAAGGTGGGCGGAGAGAGTGGTGAGGGCATGTGTTGCTGGTGAGGGCATGTGTTGCTGGTGCATGGATGGGTTGGGTCCCCATCGGCAGCAGCCACGGTGACTCTTGATGCGGGGGACGCGCTCTTCCTGCCTGAAGGCTGGTGAGCGGTGGGAGGGGGGGAAAGCATGTCCTGCTGCTACATGGTTGCTTGGTTAGCGGCAGCAGCCACTGTGACTGTTGATGCAGGGGACGCGCTCTTGTTGCCTGAAGGCTGGTGAGGGAGGGAGGGAGGGAGGGGGGAGTTGGGACGGGAAGGCGATTGGTGATGGCTTGTGCTGCTTGTGAGTGGTTGGGTTACTGGTAGCAGCATCAACTTCAGTGTCGGCAGCAGCTGCCACCATGCCGTCATGCCATCATGCCATCATGCTACCATGCCACCATGCCACCATGCCACCATGCCACCATGCCACCATGCCACCATGCCACCATGCCACCATGTCACCATGCTACTACTTGCAACCATGCTGTGGCATGCTTGCAGGTACCACCAGGTTACCAGCACACCAGCCACCATCGCCATCATGCCATCATGCCATCATTTTTTAGGCGCCTCAAAACTAGTGCTTGCAATTCTGGATGGATAAGATCTCTCCAATTGACTCCAATGCACCATTAATTACATGTGTGCAGGTACCACCAGGTTACCAGCACACCAGCCACCATGTCACCATGCCAATACTTTATACAACCATGGCAATGCGTTGCGTTGCATGTTCGCAGGGTTACCAGCACACCAGCCACCATCGCCATCAACTTCTGGTGGCCCTCCTTAGTGTGCCTCTCGTTTGGATCACACATGGACCTCTATTACGCAAGGAGAGTGCTCACAAGGTGTGATGCGTGTGATTAGTGTGTTCTTTCCTGACCTTTGGTTCACTCTTTAGTGTGCCCCTCGTTTGTGTGCCTCTCGTTTGGGTCACACCTGGACCTCTACTCCCCAAGGAGATTGCTCACAAGTTGATAAACTTCACTGTGATTCACTAGGTTTGTGATTACCTGATAGGTCCTATAGGGCATGAATGGTGCACGGCGCACTAATTCAACAGATCCCGTTCCGCAATCTATTTCTCTGCGTGAACTTCTGTTTCTCCCGTTCTCCATCCCCTTTTCCCTGCCACTTCCCCCTCCCTTTTCCTTTTCGTGCCCCTCCCCTACATGCTCTGCTGGTTGAAGCCTGCTCGAAGCTCATAAGGTGTGTACTGTATGTTTTTCGAGAAAAAAAAACACACACACACACACAAAAGGTGTGTACTTCTCTTCAGGTTGAAGCCTGCTCGAAGCTCATAAGGTGTGTACTTCTCTTCATTCTCCTCATAAGCCTGCTTGTTTCTCTCTCACGAATGCTAAAAATTCCTCATCGTTCCAACAAGTTGACTCATTTTCTGAGCCGCCCGCCCAAAAACAAAACTTGCTCGCACACACCATTGACTGGTGTGACGGTCTTTGCTTTTCTTGGCATTCGCTTTGTTCCTATGTGGCTGGTCGCAGGAATGCACGGCAAAGCGAGCAGCACTGACAGACGCAGGAGGGGCGGAGGGTGAGGGTGCTCCTGTTGAGGTGCTTCAAAAGGCAGGAGCGGTGGAGGGTGAAGGAGGAGGGATCAATGGGCGAGGAGAAAAGCCGGCAGCGTTGCCGACCAATGTAGGAGGGACGGAGTTCGAAGGGGCTGCTTTTGAGGGGCGTGAAAAGGCAGGGGCGGTGGAGGGTGAGAGAGGAGGAGGCTACATTGGCCGGACAGTGAAGTCGGCAGCAGCGCTGACAGATGCAGGAGAGGCGGAGCATGAAGGGGCTGCTTTTGAGGGGCGTGAAAAGGCAGGGGCGGTGGAGGGTGAGAGAGGAGGAGGCAGCGACATTGGGCGATCAGAAATGCCAGCAGCAGCAGAGGTGACTTTTGAATCGATTGAAACGCTGACAGGAGGGGTGGGGCTTAAAGGAGAAGAAGGAGCAAGGGTGGAAGGGGGGAAAGGAAGGAGAGAGGAAGCAGGAAGCGAACGGAGGGAGGAAGAGGGGAAGGGAAGGAGGGAGGATTGGGGGAAGGGAAGGAGGGAGGAAGAGGGGAAGGGGAGGCGGGAGCTGATGGAAGGGTTGAGTGAGAGGGAAAGAAAGGCGGTGGAATCTCTTGTTCTTGCCGCTGCTGCTGCTTCTGCTGCTGCCGCTACTCCTCCAGCAGCTGCTTCTGCTGCTGCACCTTCTGCTGCAGCTGCTGCTACCCCTGTTGCGGCTGCTGCTGCTCGTGCCTCTCCTGCTATTGGTGCTGCATCATTGGGGAAACGGAAGCCTGTTGGTGCGAGGAATGATGGGGGGAAACGTAGGCGAGAGGAAGGGAGGCACAAAGGCAAGGAGGGTAGTGAGGTGGGTGGTGAGTCAAAAGGGAAAGGAAGAAAGAAGAAGAGGGGGGAGTGGGAGGAGATGCAAGAGGAGGAAGAGGGGGAACATGAGGAAGAGGAGGACGAGGAAGAGGAGGAGGAGGAAGAGGAAAAGGAGGAGGAGGAAGAGGAAGAGGAGGAAGCGGAGAAAAAAAGAAACGACATTTTTTCGAGAGTGGAGACTGTGATTGCTGCTCTACACCCGGCCTCACTACGCAATGTGCTCCTAGTCATGGCTGTACGTAATTTCTGAGACTTGTCCAAAATCACTCGAAAGGGCTGTACGTGCTTCGAGAGTGGAGGCTGTGATTACTGCTTTGCCGCCAGCCTCTCTACGCAATGTACGTGCTTCCATGGCCCTCATGTACTTCTAGTCATGGCTGTATGTAATTTCGGAGACTGCTCATAAATCGCTCACAGGGGTTGTACGTGCTTTGTAAGTGGCGGCTGTGACTGCTGTGTTGCCCCCGGCCTCGCTGCGCAATGTGCTTCTAGTCATGGTTGTACGTGCTTTGTAAGTGGCGGCTGTGACTGCTGTGTTGCCCCCGGCCTCGCTGCGCAATGTGCTTCTAGTCATGGTTGTACATGCTTTGTAAGTGGCGGCTGTGACTGCTGTGTTGCCCCCGGCCTCGCTGCGCAATGTGCTTCTAGTCATGGTTGTAGGTGCTTTGTAAGTGGCGGCTGTGACTGCTGTGTTGCCCCCGGCCTCGCTGCGCAATGTGCTTCTAGTCATGGTTGTACGTGCTTTGTAAGTGGCGGCTGTGACTGCTGTGTTGCCCCCGGCCTCGCTGCGCAATGTGCTTCTAGTCATGGCTGTTCGTGCTTCCCTTGAATAATACATTTTCTGCGCATCTCATGTGATATGATCTACACCTACAAATTTAGCCAATATACTCTGTGTCTCCCCTGCCTCCCTTTGATGAGTCGGTTTTTGAGTCGACTCAAAAACCGACTCAAAAACCAACTCAAAAACCGACTCAAAATCCGACTCATCACTCAATTTTAGCCTATATACTCTGTCTCTCCCCTGCCTCCCTTTTCCTCTCTACAGTGCGCCTTCACACCGTCCTCACACCTTCTGCTGGTGCAATGTATCTCTCCTTCCCTCCTCACCTTTTCATCCTCCACGCTTTCTATACAATGACCTGACAATATTCTTGCTCTTTCTCTTCCTCCCCCCTCTCCCCCCCCCCCTCCCTCCTTCCTCCCTACAGCACGCCTTCCCCCTCTCCGCACATCATCTGCTGCACCACGCACTCTCGCCCCTCTCTGCTTTCCTCATCACCTCTCGCCTAGATGCTGATGCTGTGCCTCCATCCCTTCCCACTGCTGCCGCCACTGCTGACACTGCCACTGCCACCGCCGCCGCCACCGCCACTGCCGCCACTGGTGGTTGGGACCATGCTGCTGCTGCTGTTAGCACAGCTGATACTGCTCCCTATGGCAATGGCAACAGCAGTGGAGTTAACAGCACCAGCAGCAGCAGCAGCAGCAGCAGTGGCGGAGGGTTCTTTGAGGAGTTTTACGATGCTCTTCCTGATCCCGCCTCTGCAGCTGCTGCAATGCTGCGAGGCGTGGAAGAGCACAACAAAAAGGTCAGTCGAATGGAGCAAGATGTCCTTTTGAGTTCTACAATGCGCTTCCTCATCCCGCCTCTGCAGCGGCAGCGATACTCCGAGGCATGGAAGAACACAGCAAACAGGTCAGCTAGTTGGCTGGTTTGCAGCAAGCAAAGTCACAGCTTCTGCATCAAAAGTCACAGCTTCTGCATAAAAAAACACAGCTTCTGCATCAAAAGTCACAGCTTCTGCATCAAAATTCACAGCTTCTGCATCAATAGTCACAGCTTCTGCATCAAAAGTCACAACTTCTGCATCAACGGCTGCCGCAATCCTCAAAGGCGTGGAAGAGCACAGCAAACAGGCCACAGGGCAGCTTTTTAAACGAAGTGTGTTTTGAAGCCATGTGATAGCAGTAGTGCTTTGAGACGTCTCAAAGAGCACAGCAAACAGGTCAGAGGGCAGCTATTTGAATGAAGTGTCTTTTGAAGCCAAATGGAGCAAGGTGCGCGCAATTCCAGTCAGCCATTGGTCGACTCAACTGCTGTGTTCGCCCTTGCTTGGCACGAACACTCAACTTTTGAGGCGCCTCAGAAGTCGATTCCAGTCAGCCATTGGTCGACTCGACTGCTGTGTTCGCCCTTGCTTGGCACAAACACTCAAGCCTCCCCTCAAAAGCACCTCCAAACATACCGTACCTGCCTTCTCATCGGAAAACTTCGGATCCCTGCCACTTCTACCTGCCACTTCTACCCCTCACACTCACCCTGCAACCCCCATCCCTCCGCCCCTCTCCCCTCAACCCCCCTTGCAGTCGCTGAAAGAGGTGGTGGAGCTGGTCTGTGCGTTTGAGTCAAGACCCGAGTAGGAAACACCTGCAGGTGTATAATGGGAGTCTTGTTAGTTACAGAAATAATACCCATGCAATGGAACCTGCATCATGTTCCTCCCAAATCAATGACCTGGAACTGTTATTTCATAACACTATCTTTCCACTCTCATCTGAATACAGTAAAATGTTGTGAGAGATTGTTTCTCAAATTTTGTTTTCATTCATTGCCTTAACTGAAGTCCATGTTCACTACGTATTGACCTGTTGGTACATGCTTAGGGCGTGTTCCTACGCTCTTATCAGGCAAACCTTTTGTCAGTCTTGCCTGGTAAAAGTAGCAAGGGTTTTCGGGTTTTAGGGAATTTTCAGTGTGTTTTGACACGAGCTTGATAAGAGGTTGGCCTGATAAGGGGCCGTAGGAACACACCTTTTAGAATTCATCAGGACAATCCATGTTGTGATCAAGCCCTCAAATTCGTTTTTGGCCTGTCTAATTTGTCAGACTTAGTACACTGTGTTAGTCTGATTTGATCAGAGTTAGTTGAAAAACAAAGGCTGAAACTTCAGAGTGCCTAAAAAAAAAAGTCTGAAGCATTCAGAGTCTACACCAGTGACAAGTCTGATTTTGATTTTAGCCATGTGTTGTATAGGGTGCAGTTGACCTTGGTTGAACTACATTAGACAGGCATAGGCCTACATACATATTGCTGCTGATGCATTAACAGTTAGATTTACCTACCTACCCACCTATAATAGGGCTATATAGATCCTATCCTATCTACTCTTAATTCTCCTCATCAAATCCATCATCATCATCACTATCAGATGCATCACTATCCTCCTCTAAGTCTTCTACTTCCATCACTTCATCTGCCTCCTTGGCCTTGTTCTGTTGCTTTCCTGCAGGCGGGAGAGGAGCGTTGCTGTGGGGCTTGCGCTTCTTCTAGGCCTTCTAGATTGTCACGATCTCATCCCACTTGGGCTCGTAGTCCATGAGGCTCATGCACATGAGGTCTCCCAGCCGTGCGTCCTTCAGTGAGCCTCTCGGCCACGACTTGATTATATTCTGCCTGGAGAACCCCCGCTCACTCCACGGTGCTCAGCGGCAGGACAGCTACCGCCACCCACAAATGAACAAGGTTGGGGTAGTTGTCCCGCCAGTCCGGTGTCTTGAGCAAGGCTGTGAGCCCCGCGTGGAAGCTGCGCTCGCCCTTGGTAGAGGCTGCAAGCGCCGAGGTAAACATGCGCAGCTCCTTCTCCGCACGGTGCTTGTCGACTCTTGGCGGGGTTGGGAAAAGGATAAAGAGAACAGAATGAGTAAACAGTCATTGCAGTGTCGCACAGAACACAAACAAAGGAACGAGCCAGCAATTTTTAAAGGCACACACAAAAGGCTTACCTGGCACGATCTCTTCCGTCAGGTCGGCCTTGAACAAAGTGACCAGCGACCGTAACCACTGAAGGCACCTCCGTTTCCTCTCGGCTCGATCCAACGGATACTCGTCAGGCAGGAACACCTTCACCCCGAACATCCCATCCAGGTCGCCAAGCCGATGCTCGAGTTGGTGAACAATCACCTCCGCGAACTCCGTGCACAGTTCTACACAGCCATCATGGGACCCGGGCCCTTCCCACTCCTCCAGCTCGTCCTCATCCAGCATGAATTTGAAGCGTGCTGGACGGCCGTCCGAGTCAATCCCTTCGACTTTCACCTCCCGGTTTCCTCCTGGCCCATGGCGCGTGATGAAGGGGGACAGCAGCTCGCTCACGCCGCCACCGAAGTCGTCGCCGCAATCAACGTAGCGGCTCTCGATGTGGGACGTTGTGCGCTTGATCTGCGCATGCACGCTGGCATAGTCAAGCAGGATAGGAAACAAAAAAAAAGGTAGTAAGTGGATGGTCACGGTTAACATACAGGAACAAAGCAGAATGACGACTGCAACAAAACATTAACAGAAAACTATGGCCAAGCTCACCTCCTTGTGCTGGAACGCCCGGTTCAGGATGTTGAGCTGCTCAAGCACATCAGCAATGAAGAAGAGAAGGAAATGAAACCTATAACTTGTAACCAGAGCATAGAGGTTCGCGTCCCACTCCTTCAGCATGACGATGAGTGCCGGAAGCACCGCGACAAGCCTGAGCACTGCGTCGCCCCGCGAAAGCCATCGGGCGGGTTGAATGCCCTGGAGCTCAAGAGAGGTGGACGCGAAGACCTCTTGGAGCCCCATGAACCGTTGATGCCACGGCCCTGAACGGCCGAGATGCTCTGCCACGGTGCGAATCACCGTGTCAATGCAGCTATACGGGGGAAACATCGCGCCGCAGGGCGGCGTCGCCCATTGAACTTGACAGTTGGCACAGATTTCGCGTGATTGACAGTACATGTACAATGTACCACCGCTAATCCTTCCTGGGTGTCGGCGCACAGGTACACTCAATCAGAATCGGTACTCTGAATTCCTCAGAGTACACTCCCCGGAAACTCTGAAATCTCAGAGTCAGCATGTAAAAAAATCTGATTTTTACAGAGTTGAGGCCATAAAAATTCTGAATTTCACAGTGTACACCCAATACAATGTCTGAAATCACAGACTTTTCTAGGCAAATCAGACAAATTTCTCTGACTTCCGAGGGCCTGGTTGTGATTGTGATGTGAGCGGGGAAAATAACACACCATCAAGCCAACCACCAGCATTGTTGGTTGGCAACTCCTGCAAGTTGTGCGAGCTACCGTCTTCTAGTCTGGATTTTATTAGATGAAAAAGGTAAGTGTCCCACAAGCAGTCGTCACCAAAACCTCCTTCCTATGTTTTCCAAGTCAACTCAAACCGCTTCCCTTACAAAATCTATTTCTCTGCAGCCTTAGCCTTGTTGTAGGCCTCCAGTTCAGCAGCATATCGCACCTTGTCCTTCTGAGACAGTTGCTCGTACTTCACCTTGTCACCAGCTGCACGGGGAAAAATGACGGAGAGAGGACAGAAGGGTGACGGGAAATGATGAGGTCCTGTCCTTCTGTGAAGCTGGCTCTCACTTCACCTTCACTGTAACTTGTTTTGTGACGTCTCGAAGCTTGCTATCAGCTCACCTTGTCACCAGGTGTGAATGAGTGAGGAATGGACGGGGGAAAGAAGGGGTTGACGTGGGGGGAGAGGGAGGGTGAGATTTGCATGTCCTTCTGAAAAAGCTTGCAGGAACAGAGGGAAATGATGGGCGAGAAGAGTGGGTAGAGGCTGGTGGTTTTGGAGCGAGGGAGGGGAGGAGGGGAGAAAGAGAGAGCGGGGGAGTTGGGGAAGAAAGGGGGTGGTGGGAGGAGAGGAAGGTGGGAGAAATGATGGGTACGGCAGCAATAGTGAGGTCAGAGGAAGGGGGAGAGGATGTGCATATGTCAGAGGTGAGGGAAACGAGGAAATAGAAAGATGAGGACAAGCGTGCAATGACGGAACACAAACGTTGAATTTCTGAATACATTTGGACGTTCTTGGTTCACGAACAGGACCTAGCTGTGAAATTTCCAGTAGACTAAGTGTGGGAATCACGAATTGCTCGCCAATCTCCTACCTGCGAGGTTTCGCCACCGTTCGCCAATGACCTACCTGCGAGGTTTCGCCACCGTTCGCCAATGACCTACCTGCGAGGTTTCGCCACCGTTCGCCAATGACCTACCTGCGAGGTTTCGCCACCGTTCGCCAATGACCCTGCCGACATCGGCGAAGGCTATGTCGGGCTTCTCGCGAATCACTTTCTGTCGCACAAACGAAAAGGGGAATTCGCGGGAATGCACCGGAAGCAGAGCCCGGGAAATATTTGAGAGGAAGGCATGGGAAATCCGGAAATATATAGATGCACGAAATTCACGGGGAGAAGAAAATAATGGATCGGAGATTCAGGAGATCAACGGAGACGAAATCCACAAGGAGTCGAATCCGTGAATCGATTCAAGGTTTGAGGGACAAAAGACCAACAAACAATGCTCGATGGACCATAGATGAGAAATACCGTGGACTACTGCTGGGATACGCTAAGAAGAGATGGACGAAGCGAAACAATGACACCCATGGTGACAACAAATCACAACAAACTAGCTGGGTGAGAACAATAACAATGTAGTCGAATCAGAAAGCACGAGACGGGTCGAATCGGAACGCACGAGACGGCGCCACGCACAGGTCGCTCTTCAGTCGTGACGACCAAGTGAAGGGACATGGGTCGCTAAGGACAGCCGGGTGTGTTACGAGTCAACTTGAAATACACAAGACCACACGCACAGGTCGCTCATGAGTCGCGAAGACTATATACGCCGACATAGGTCGCTTAGGACTGTCATCCTTGGGTTTCCGCGTCGCCTTCGGCTTCTCGCCTCCCGCCTTTCCAGCTGACGCCGCTTTCTCGCCTCCGGCCTTTGCGGCGAAGCATCGGAACGCGGTTCCGGCAATCTCGGAGGCAGATCCGGGGGATGCGCGGGAGAAAGCGAGACGGAAAACGGTTTGGGGAGTTGCCATGGCGTGGAGCATGACAGGTGTGACTATAGCGCGGGTTACGAGCGGCGAATGCGGAGAGGAGTGGATGCTGCGAGGCAGTCGATGCGGATATGGCAGAGTGGTGAGGCGATGACGGGAATTTGTCGGAAGCGGCGGACGACGGTTAGAAGCCGTTGATGCCAACGAGAAGCGATGCGCAACCGTTCGATGATGGCAGGCGTGACGACGGGCCAAGGGTTACTGATGGAGGCAAGTGGCCGGAAATGAGGAGGTCAGGGCTAAGCGCGATCTGGTGGCTTTTAGTATGGTAGGGAGAGTCTATATTCCCGAGGTTCTCTCGATATTGGCAAGGGTCTCAAGGGTGATGATTTGCGACGGGAAGGAAATTCGCTATACGCAATAAAATGGCACTTCCAAACAAAGCTTACTCGTATGTCTGACTTATCCCACAAGCTCTAACCACCTCGCAAGGAAGTGGGTTATACCGTAACCACATGCCGGATCACAAATTTAATCACCATAAATATACCTCCGGGCACTCTAGAATAAAGATACCGTAAGGCTTCTAAAATAGGCCTACATGACCAAACACCTCACTGGGTCCGATCATATGACAGTCCTAGTGTCCAAGATTACTCATCAGTTGCTACCACAGTCCACCCCCTCTATAGGTAGTCATCAGGATCACCTTTAAGCACATCGGATGCAAGGCGAGGCTCTCTTCCTAATGCGTAAAGAGGCTCCTCTGACGACATAGCCCCCATTTCAAGAAACTTGTCACGCTCCGATTCATCAAGAATCTGATCGCCGCCTTTAGTGATATACACTACAGATGTGATGAGCAGTACAAGCACACCCATTACTGCCACGCCTGCTATCACCCAGACGACCACCCCCAAGCCTTGAGGTGCAGGTGCCGTGTGAACTGGAAGAAAGTGAAGTGGGCACAGGGAAAGAGAGGACGGAGGAAGGCAGGAGAGAGGCAGGCGGGGAGAGTATGTGGGGGGGGAATATGAGATATTGAGGTTTGCATACCAAACCAGCAAGTGGAGCTTATGAGATACAATGCAAATGTGATGAAGGACGGAGGAGGGCACAGGAGAACAAACTCGAGCGCGCCCTTTGGGTACCAACCATAGAAATAACGTGCTCATCTCTATCCGTTGGCCTGGATCTGATCTGCCAGCGGCAGCTCACCAAAACCGGCGTGTAGTAAGTCGACTTTTGAGTCGACTAACAAAAGTAACGTGCTCATCTCCATCCGTTGCCCTGGATCTCATCTGCCAGTGGCAGCTCGCCAAAACCCGCAGCAGCACCCAGCCCAGCACACAGTGACAGAGAGAGCAAGAGGCATAGAAACCAGCGTGCCCATCTCCAGGTCCCGCACACAAGCAGGGCACGAGGGCACAAACTCGAGCGTCCCCTTTGGGATCTGCCAGCCAGCTCAACCCAGGTCAACCCAGGTCGACCACTCAACTCACCATCGCCTGTGCTAATCTCCATATCTCGCACACACGCAGGACATGAAAAGCACAAACTCCACAGAGCCCTTTGGGTCCACCAGCAGCAGATCCCCAAAGCCCGTAGAACCACTCAGCCCAACACACACGGACTCAACTCACCGTCTCCCGTGCTCATCTCCAGGTCCCTCACACACGCAGGACATGAGAGCACAAACTCCACAGTGCCCTTTGGGTCGGCCAGCAGCAGCTCCCCAAAGCCCGCGGCACCGGGGGCGGGCGAGTGGCCCTTGGGGGCGGAAAGTTGGACTCGCAGAGCGGGAAGAGCAGGAGAGACAGAGAAAGTGAAAGAGAAAAGGAGGAGAACCATCTCACCATCGCCTGTACTCATTTCCAAGTCCCTCACGCATGCGGGGCATGAGAGCACAAACTCCACAGTGCCCTTTGGGTCCGCCAGCAGCAGCTCCCCAAAGCCCGCAGCACCGGGAGCAGGCGAGTGGCCCTTGGGGGCTGAGAAGTTGGACTCGCAGAGCGGGAAGAGCAGGTAGGGGCTGTCTGCTATCCACCCCTTCTCGTACATGCCGCACGACTTGCACCCACCACTGTCCATTTGGAATAGCGGCTGGGATGGGGGAGGGAGATGGGAAAGGAAGGGAAGGGGAGGAAGTGGGGGTGGGTAAGGAGAAAAGGAAAGGTAATCTGGCATGGGAAGAAGTATGAGAGGGAAGGGAGGTTGGGGAAGTAGGGAGGGCATGGAAGGGCGAGTGGCCGTTGCGGGGGGAGAAGTTGGACTCGCAGAGCGGGAAGAGCAGGTAGGGGCTGTCTGCTATCCACCCCTTCTCGTACATGCCGCACGACTTGCACCACCACTGTCCATTTGGAATAGCGGCTGGGATGGGGGAGGGAGATGGCAAAGGAAGGGGAAATAGAGCAGGTATGGGCAGAGGCAGAGGGGAAGAGCAGGTAAGGAGGAGAAGAGCAGGTAGGGGCTGTCTGCGACCCACTCTTCTCGTATATGCCGCATGACTTGCTTTTGAGTCGACTCAGCTTTTGAGTCGACTCAAAAGCAGAAGGGCAGGCAGGGGCTGTCTGCGATCCACTCTTCTCGTATATGCCGCATGACTTGCACCCGCCACTGTTCATATGAAAGAGCAGCTGGGACGGGAAGGGGGGTAGCAGAGGGAGGGTAAAAAGAGTGATGTGTCGACTCAGGACATAAGTCCTCCGTCCAACCAGCTTCTATGATAATACATACTGCCATACAACCTTCTTTGAGATATCTACGTGAAAGGAGGGTGTTTTTGAGACGTCTCAAAAAGCTCCCATGAGAATACATACTGCCATACAACCCTCTTGAGATGTCTCAAAAATTGTCCCCAACCAACCAACCACGTCGCATGATCATACATACTGTCACACCTGCCAGCCAATGATCCTCCTTCCCCTCCGCCTCACTTGCCGATCCTCCTTCTCCTCAGCCTCACCTGCCAGTCCTCCTTCCCCGTGAGGTTGACTTGCACGTTGAGCGATGGCGAGAAGGGCAGGTCGGAGCGGTTGCCATCAGCCCTCACCAACCACCCACCACCTCCCATCACCACACAATACCACTGCTACAGCACTCTCCTCAGCCTCACCTGCCAGTCCTCCTTCCCCGTGAGGTTGACTTGAATGTTGAGCGGTGGCGAGAAGGGCAGGTCGGAGCGGTTGCCATCAGCCCTCACCAACCACCCACCACCTCCCATCACCACACAATACCACTGCTACAGCACTCTCCTCAGCCTCACCTGCCAGTCCTCCTTCCCCGTGAGGTTCACTTGGATGTTGAGCGGCGGTGAGAAGGGCAGGTCGGAGCGGTTGCCATCGGCACAGAGGAGGAAGACCTGGGGGAGGAACACCCAGTTGATGTGCTTGTGCAGCGTGATGCTCGTTAGAGTCACATTCGCCACAGCTGGCAACAGTGGGCGGTGGGTGGGGGATAGACGGAAAGCAGGGGAGAGAAGTGCGGAGAAGGAAATTGTTGAGAGGCTGGAGGCTGAACAGGCCAGAGCAGAGCGGCACGGCAGCCATCGGCGACGTCATAAAAGTTGAGTTTTGGGCGTCTCAACTCAACACTCAACTTCCATCCCGTGGCAATTATTGAGAGGCTGGAGGCTGAAGAGGTCAGAGCAGAGCGGTGGCCATCGGTGCAGAGGAGAAAGACTTGAGGGAGAAACACCCAATTGATGTGCTTGTGCAGGGTGATGCTCGTTAGAGTCACATTCGCCACAGCATAAATGGGTAAGGGAGGGTGGAGTGGGTGGTTTGGAAGAGGGGAGAGAAGAGAGATGCGGGGTGTGGGAGGTGAAGATGGAGGGAGGAGGAGGGGGGAGAGAAGGAGGGGTGGTGGGGAGGGGGGGAGACGGAGAGGGGGAGGGGTGACAGGAGAGAGACACGCGTACGACCACGGACGGAGCACGTAGTTGAACCGCTTCGCGTGCGCGGGAAGATCGATGCTAGGGTTATAATCGCTACGGCCTCAGCCTGGGTTTTGAGACGCCTCAAAACGCGCGGCGATCGATGCTAGGGTTGTAATCGCTACAGCCTCAGCCTGGGAGGGGAAGGGGGGAAGTAAGGGGGGAAGGGGGTGGGGGGGGGGGGGGGTGGGAGCTGGGGAGGAGATCGAGGGTAGATGTTAACACCGCCATCTTGACACGCTTAGGAACGGGAAATTGGCCGCCACGTGGACCAATCGAAGAGCGACGGACACTCACCCGCCACGTGGACCACTTGCATGATTGTAACGAGGATCGCGAGCGCGGCTCCTCCTGTTCGCAGTAACCCACGCGATTCCGCCATGTTTTGCGCTGGGACTTGCGCGATCGCTGAGAGCTTCGACGAGTTTAATAATTCAGGGTGGGTGTGTTTTGGCACTTCTTTCAGGACAAGGAGCTGAGGCGTTTCGAAGCACCCCAACGGCTCGCGTAAAGCGCGGAGATCCTGTCCTAATTCTCAGCCGTGGGGTGACAAAATAAAGGGTAGGTTGTAACGAGTCCAACTCAATCAGCCTAAGAGGTGAGCCGTTGAGAAGCAGGCGAGCTCAAGAGGCACTCGTGACTAGCAATTAACAATTATGCACTCGCGAAGAATTATCGAGGCGCCTCGAAGAAGCCGTCCCGGAGGGACCTATGGACCGACAAACTCAGAATGCGTTAGGTCATTACGCTACGCTAGGGGGAACGGGCCGCGGATTGCGATGTCAGCACGTAATTCAGGGGAGCGACCTAGATCCGCATCGTACCGCAGGTAAGAAAAAATATCATACCACTCCAGAGGTATGTTCTGTACTCGCAAATGTGGGGCCCATAGGCTAGATAATGAGCACTTTTTGGGAGTACGGTAGTGTGGCTGCTGTGGTGATGCGATTCTTTGTGATGGTCTGGTTCTGTGGTTTGGTTCTGAGGTCTGGTGGAGGTTCGGCTGTGTGCGAGGAGATTAGGCTTTCGCGAACCTCTGGCGCAACCTCGGAAAATGTTCGGGTATGGAGCTGCATTTCCCAAGGTTCTGGTAACAGTCCCGAATTTCGCTTTTCTTGTCGGTGAGGGGGTACGGTTCATTTGCGGTTCAGTCCGAACGGAGTAGACGGGCTCGTTGAGTTCACTGTACAGTGTAACCTGACCAAGCTCGTTTTGTGACTACATCGAAGGGAGGTGGAGGTTGTAAGTGTGGACACCAGTTGCAGGCAGGTGCATCGCTGACGCGGCGTCACCGAATCAGGAGATCACAGATGCTTGTGCCGAACCAGTTCATCCAGTTCAGCCCCTTCTGAAAGCGTCCCATTGCTTCTTCCACACCACACCTACATACATACACCCTCTTTCTCGCCATTGTGGAGTCGGTTATAATGAAGTCAAGATGGGAAAAGCACGGTTAGCGGTGGTTGAATCACTTTTTGGTATGGTTTAATTAGGCAAATTGAGGATAATAAGGTTTTCCACCTGTTCGGCACAGTTCAGTGTAGCGAGAAACAGGGTGTACCCTCCTCAGCAGCAGCACCAGCAACTCCCCCCCACCCTGGAATTGATTGCTTCACGCATATCGTAGATTCCTAATAAATCAACCACATTCACCAGCCTACTCCACAGTTGCTGCTGGTCTGTCAACCCTAATCTTCTGCTTTCGAGTCATGACCTCGCGGCACGGCCAACGAGCCGCGAAGCCTTCACCGTACGACCAAGCGAGTGAGGCTGAACTTGCATCTCGCGCCGCGCTTCCGCCAAGCGCCTCGGACCTCCATTCCCTTCCCACGATTTCCCTTCCCCCGTCCGCCGTTCCCGCCTCCTCCGCGCACGTTAACGCGCGTCGAGCCGCCTCGGCGTCGGCCGTCACTACCCTCAGTGGTGCTTCCAATGGGCTACGCGCGAGGAGCCGCAATGGGAGCTGGAGCTTTCGACGCAACGGCGTCAAACGCGGCGGTAGTCAAGGCAGAAGTCCCGGCGGTATTCGCGGCGACATTTACGGCGGCAGCGACGGCGGAATCAGCAGCGGCATCAGGAGCCTTAGCGGCCGCTTGATGTCCGGGATGTTCGGAAAACGGCGCGACACGCTCCCAGACAGCGGTCCTCTGAGGCCCTCGTTTCACGGTGGCATGGTGCGGCTCGTGTCGCATAACTTTCCGGATATTCCGCTCGAGGAAATGAAATCCGACGCGCTTTGGGGAAAGACCTGGTGGTGGTTCGGACGAGTATTGGATCCGCGTACAACGCGTATGAAGCGATGGATGAGATTCGTCGCCTTGGTTCACTCGGCATCGCTAGCCGTTGATCCTTGCTTCCTATACCTAATCTCTTATAGTCCGGACGTATCGTGTCTATTTTTGGAGACGATTTTCTCGATAGTCCTCATGGTGCTTCGGAGCGCTTGTGACTTGGTTTTCCTGGTGGATGCGTTTCTGTCGTTGCGCACGGCTTACGTGTCGAAAGAAGCTATAGCGAGGGGGCACGGCAGCGAAATGGTGACTAATGCGAGGAAGATCGCGCGGTCTAGGTGTTCCTTCGGCGGGGTGGTCTTCGATATCATCGCGACTTTGCCGATTCCGCAGGTGGGCATGATTGGTGGTTAGTTGAGGCAAATTTGAAACAGGTAGATCATTGTAATTTGTAACTTGTAACAGTTATTGAATCGGTTCAGATTATTTGACAGCAATAAGATTCGTATATCGAATGCTGAGAGAATCTGGGTAACTTTGTAATGCTGACGTTTGTACTTTATGTGAAAAACCTTTGCAATCCACCCCTCCGCTTTCCCCTCCCTTAATGTTTCCAGGTATTTGTGTGGGTGATTGCCCCCATGCTAATCCAAATGGACAAGGCTTCATACGATTTTTCTACAGGCGGCGTCACTATAACCTTCAGTGCCATCATTCTACAGTACGTGCTGAAGCTGATTCTCGCCGCCCGGTTCACCGTGCGAGCGCAGCGGGTCAACGGCTACATCTTTGGCGCGGCGTGGTGGGGCTTTGCGCTGAATCTCATCGCGTACATGATTGCTGCACATGTGAGTCAAGGAAGCTCGTTCTTCAACTTGCCATGCGAGCGCAGCGGGTCAACGGCTACATCTTTGGCGCGGCGTGGTGGGGCTTTGCGTTGATTTCATTGCGTAAATGATTGCTGCCCATGTGAGTCAGGGAAGGTCGTTCTTAGGATTTGCCGTGCAGGTGCAGTGAGTATACAGTTACATCTTTGGTGTTGTTGCAGTGTTGTGTTGTGTTGCGGGGCTTTGCTTTAAATCTCATGGCCTACATCATTGCCATGCGAGCGAGTGCGGATGTAAAAGTGTGGAAATTCCGAATGCGTGAGTTCGGGAATGCGTAGATTTGAAAATGCGTGAGTTTGGGAATGCGAAATTTTGAAAATGTGTGAGTCTGTAAATGTTGACCTTCCCTTCTCTCCTATACCCACCATTCTTCTCCCTTCCACCCTCTCCCCCCCCACCACCGTCATCTCCCACCCCACCAGGTCTTCGGGTCCCTCTGGTACCTGCTGGCGTCTGAGCGAGTCGCCACATGCTTCCAGACGCTGTGCCAGCAGGTGAGTAAGAGGGGACAAGCAGGTGAGGGGACAAGCAGGTGAGTGAGTGAGAGGATATGCAGGTGAGGGGCATGGTGCCTTGAAACCGCTCCCTCTGGTACCTGCTGGCGTCTGAGCGAGTCGCCACATGCTTCCAGACGCTGTGCCAGCAGGTGAGGGGCTGAGAGCCTGTCATGTGATGTGATGCCATGCAGGTGAGGGGCTGAGAGCCTGTCATGTGATGTGATGCCATGCAGGTGAGGGGCTGAGAGCCTGTCATGTGATGTGATGCCATGCAGGTGAGGGGCTGAGGGGCTCTCATGTGATGCATGCCATGCCATGCCATGGATTCCCACAAAATGCCATGCCATGCCATGGATTCCCACAAAATGCCATGCCATGCCATGGATTCCCACAAAATGCCATGCCATGCCATGGATTCCCACAAAATGCCATGCCATGCCATGCAACCCCAACTTCGTCTGTGCGCAACCCCAACTTTGTCACCTGCCCGACACAAGTGCGATGACAGGTCACCTTACCCCACGCCTCCCCTCCCTCGTCCCACCCCCCTTCCGCCTCCCCTCCCTCGTCCCACCCCCCTTCCGCCTCCCCTCTCTCTTCCCATCCCCTTCCGCCTCCCCTCCCTCTTCCCACCCCCTTCCGCCTCCCCTCCCTCTTCCCACCCTCTTTCCGCCTCCCCACCTTTCCCAGGTTCCCACGTTTGTCTGCAACCCCAACTTCGTGACCTGCCCCAATGCAAGCAAGACAACAGCTCCTTCCCTCCCCTCGCCTCCACTCTCTCCCCTCCACTCTCTCCCCTCCACTCTCTCCCCTCCACTCTCTCCCCTCCACTCTCTCCCCTCCACTCTCTCCCCTCCACTCTCTCCCCTCCACTCTCTCCTCCCAGCCCTCAGGTCCCCACGTCTGTCTGCAACCCTAATTTCGTCACCTGCCCTGACGCAAGCGAGACAACAGACGCCGACGTGAGCCCCTTTTGAGTCGACTCTATGATACTCCCCCCTCTTCCCCAGGTCCCCCCACGTTTGTCTGCAACCCCAACTTCGTGACCTGCCCCAATGCAAGCAAGACAACAGACGCCGACGTGAGCCCTGCTCCTCCCATTCCCCCATTCCCTCTTCCCACCCCCTTCCACCTCTCCATCCCTCAGGTCCCCACGTCTGTGTGCGACCCCAACTTCATCACGTGCCCCGATGCAAGTGAGACAACAGACGCTGACGTGAGCCCAGCATGGGCGGCATGGGGCAGCAACGCTACTCTCGAGACGACGTGCTTCGAGGGGGATGGGACGTTCAACTTTGGCATCCATCTACCACATGGCGCTTACGGTTTCCCCCCTTGCTGCTTCTACCCCAACCCCCCCTCTCCCCTTCCCCCTGCCCACTCCCTCCCCCTTTCCCAGGTCCCCACGTCTGTCTGCAACCCCAACTTCGTGACGTGTCCAGAAGCGTATGAGACGACGACGTCCCAAGTGAGCCCTGAGTGGGCGGCATGGGGCAGCAACGCTACCCTCGAGACGACGTGCTTTGAGGGCGATGGCACGTTCAATTTTGGCATCTACCACATGGCGCTGCAACTAATGAAGGATGGCTCTGCTATGGCCAAGATCTTCTACGGCCTCTTCTTTGGAATCATGACTCTCAGGTGATGCTGTGATTGCAATTCTGCTGCCATTCCTGGGGTGGGGGTTCAGCTCAGCAGCATGACAGCACCAACTTGGGCATCTACCACATGGCGCTGCAGCTCATGAAAGACGGGTCTGCTGTTGCCAAAATCTTCTTTGGACTCTTCTTTGGCATCATGACTCTCAGGTGCGTATGCTACATTTAGTCACTCCATAAAGAGTGTGACTGTAAAGAAGGTCACGTTCAACTTTGGCATCTACCACATGGCGCTGCAACTCATGAAGGACGGGTCTGCTGTTGCCAAGATCTTCTTTGGACTCTTCTTTGGCATCATGACTCTCAGGTACGTATGCTACATTTAGTCACTCCATAAAGAGTGTGACTGTAAAGAAGGTCACGTTCAACTTTGGCATCTACCACATGGCGCTGCAACTCATGAAGGACGGGTCTGCTGTTGCCAAGATCTTCTTTGGACTCTTCTTTGGCATCATGACTCTCAGGTACGTATGCTACATTTAGTCACTCCATAAAGAGTGTGACTGTAAAGAAGGTCACGTTCAACTTTGGCATCTACCACATGGCGCTGCAACTCATGAAGGACGGGTCTGCTGTTGCCAAGATCTTCTTTGGACTCTTTTTTGGCATCATGACTCTCAGGTGATGCTTCTAAGGCGGCACCACTACTAGGTTTAGGCTGAATCACAATTCATAAAAAAAAGTGCGACTGTAAGAAATGGGGCGACCATCTCTGGCGTCTACACTACACTACAGCATGGCTCTTTGGTTCGGTTCTTGCCGAGATTCTCGTCGGTCTATTCGTTGGCAATATGACACTCCAGTGACACTAAATCGACACCAAGGTGACACTAAGATGACACCAACGTGACATCCCCATGTCTCCTTCAAGCACACCTTTCGCCCCCAACCCCCTCGGAACCTTAGTGGGAATATACGCGTATAGCGTATATACGCGTATCGTATATACGCTAACGTATGTACGCTAAACGCTCAAGGGTCGATTTGGTAATACGCTTTTTCGGGCAGGTATAAACTATCCCGGGCAGGGTGAAAAAAAACGTCGTGCACAAGATTGGGAAGGTGTTCCCTATTCTCACTAAGACTTTCGTAGCATTTCCCTAAGTCTGAGCGGCGATTGGGGTGGGATGTGGAGTAGACACTAGGAGAAGTAGGTAGGAATCGGAAGGAGCTCTGCTGTTAGGAAGCGGGAATGTCAACTAGAAATGACGACTGGAATTCTGCTTTCTGGTAAGTAGCGTCAGTGGGGTTTGATGGGGGACGTTTTTGACAGGTTGGAGTTCGTAGATAAGATGGGTTTCAATGCGGTACTAATTTAATGTTCAATTTTGAACTGCCTGCAACACTTCGAAGGCACATTCCCGCTTCCCTAGACCGTCGAATTGCATTTCGACTTAGGCGAAAAGCTCAGCAGAAAAATCCGCATCTTTCTGTATACAAGCGATTTTTTTTCCTGGGCAGCCCGAAAAACTTTCTGATAGCGTATAGCGTATTAGCTAGCGTATTGCGTTTTGCGTACACACGCTAGCGTATATACGCTATACGCTTTAGGGTTTGAGCGTATATTCCCACTAAGCTCGGAACCCCTCCACCTCCCTTTCCACCTCCCCACTCTCCCCCACACCCCATCTGAACCGCTCTCAACCCAACGCCCTCGTCTCCCTCTGGACCAACTTTGTGGAAACCACCTTCGCTCTTCTCCCCCCTCCCCTTTTCTTCACACCCCTCTTCTCCGCCTGCCCGCTTATTTGCCTCCACACATCCCTCCCAACCCCTCTGAACCGCTCTCAGCTCCTTCGGCAATGCACTCGTCCCCAGCACCAACTTCGTGGAAACCACCTTCGCTGTCATCATGGTGCTGTCGGGTCTTATGCTTTTCACCCTGCTCATTGGGAATATCCAGGTGCGTTCTAACAATGATGAATCGTCTTATGACGGGGACGAGTGTAGAAACCACCTTCGCTGTCATCATGGTGCTGTCGGGTCTTATGCTTTTCACCCTGCTCATTGGGAATATCCAGGTGCGTTCTAACAATGATGAATCGTCTTATGACGGGGATGAGTGTAGAAGCCACCTTCGCTGTCATCATGGTGCTGTCGGGACTCATGCTTTTCACCCTGCTGATTGGGAACATCCAGGTGCGTGCTAATAACAAATTGTCTTGTAGTGGATTGGATATCTCTGTGCTGTCTATCATCAAGGTGCTGTCGGTTCGGGGCTTATGCTCGCCACTCTGCTCATCGGAAATGCAGAGGTGCGGAGCAAGTTGACTTTTGAGTTGACTCAAAAGTCAACTCAATACACAGGTGCGCAGCGCATGTGCTTTTTAGTTGTGTCCGGGAACGAGGGACACATTTTGAGCCTCACCTGTCGATTTTCTGAGTCGACTCAAACGACTTTTGAGGGACGAGGGCGCCTCAAAAGTAGGAACGAGGGACCTCACCTGTCGATTTCTGAGTCGACTCAAAAATCGACTTATCACACGAGGAGAGACCTCACCTGGTGGGTGGGTGGATGAACCGCCACCAGTTGCCACCTGCCGCGCCTGCCCCGTCAATCTCTCCCCACCCATCATCCCCACCCACCCCATCTCGACCCTTTCCCCTACCCATCCCCTTCCCATACCCAGGTTTTTCTTCACAGCATCACATTGCGAATGGAGGAGATTCAACTGCGGAGGAGGGACCTGACTTGGTGGGTGGATGAACCTGCCCTTTCGATCCCCACCCACTCCCACCCCTTCCCCTACCCACACCCAGGTCTTCCTTCACAGCATCTCCTCGCGAATGGAGGAGATGCAGCTGCGAAGGCAGGACCTCACCTGGTGGATGAACCGCCACCAGTTGCCACCTGCCCTGCCCATCCCCATCCCATCCTCATCTCCATCCATCCCTTCTCCCCTTTTTCCCTTACCGATGCAGGTCTTCCTTCACAGCATCACATCACGGATGGAGGAGATGCAGCTGCGGAGGCAAGACCTGACCTGGTGGATGAACCGTCACCAGTTGCCACCTGCCCTGCAGCGGCGCGTGCTGAGGCAGGAGCAGCAGAACTTCACCGCGACGAGGGGGATCGACGAGGAGGGACCTCACCTGGTGGATGAGCCGCCACCACTTGCCACCTGTCCTACCCATCCCCACCCCATCCCCATCCCCATCCCCGTCCCCATCCTCATCTCCATCCATCCCTTCTCCCCCTTTTCCCTTACCCCTGCAGGTTTTTCTTCACAGCATCACATCACGGATGGAGGAGATGCAGCTGCGGAGGCAAGACCTGACCTGGTGGATGAACCGTCACCAGTTGCCACCTGCCCTGCAGCGGCGCGTGCTGAGGCAGGAGCAGCAGAACTTCACCGCGACGAGGGGGATCGACGAGGAGGGACCTCACCTGGTGGATGAGCCGCCACCACTTGCCACCTGTCCTACCCATCCCCACCCCATCCCCATCCCCATCCCCGTCCCCATCCTCATCTCCATCCATCCCTTCTCCCCCTTTTCCCTTACCCCTGCAGGTTTTTCTTCACAGCATCACATCACGGATGGAGGAGATGCAGCTGCGGAGGCAAGACCTGACCTGGTGGATGAACCGCCACCAGTTGCCACCTGCCCTGCAGCGGCGCGTGCTGAGGCAGGAGCAGCAGAACTTCACCGCGACGAGGGGGATCGACGAGGAGGGGCTCATTCGCAGCATGCCCAAGAGTTTGCGGAGGGATATCAAACGGCATTTATGTCTTGACCTGGTGAAGCAGGTAGGAGGTGCCTTGACCTGGTGAAGCAGGTAGGAGGTGCCTTGACCTGGTGAAGAAGGTAGGAGGTGCCTTGACCTGGTGAAGCAGGTAGGAGGTGCCTTGACCTGGTGAAGAAGGTAGGAGGTGCCTTGACCTGGTGAAGCAGGTAGAGGGCGTGTGGTGATGTATTGCAATGATAGGGCAGCAGCAGGGCAGGAGCAGCAAAACTTCACGGCCACGAGGGGGATTGATGAGAAGGGGCTCATTCGCAGCATGCCCAAGAGCCTGCGGTGGGATATCAAATGCCATCTTTGCCTTGACCTGGTGAAGCAGGTGAGCAGTGAAGGAGAGAGCACAAGGGAGGTACGGATGATTGAGCTTCTATTTGTTGAAGGAAGTATGAGGCATGTTATATTGAAATCACTTAAGGAGAATACTCAAAAGTGATTTCAACATGGGAGAGGTACGGTTGAGCTTCTATTTGTTGAAGAAGGTTACGAGACATGTTGAGTCAACCTAAAATTTATTAGATTCGAAGGGGCAGGAGAAGCAGAGCTTCACCGCGACGAGGGGGACTGATGAGGAGGGGCTCATCCGCAGCATGCCCAAGAGCCTGCGGCGAGATATCAAACGCCATCTGTGCCTTGACCTGGTGAAGCAGGTACGTACGACAAGGCATGGTGAGACACCTTGTACTATATTATCAGGTCTGATGGGGCAGGGGCAGCAATATTTGAGACCAACGAAGGGGATCGACAAAGAGGGGCTCATTCGCAGCATGCCCAGGAAGGAGCCTGCGGCGAGATATCAAACGACACCTGTGCCTTGACCTGGTGAAGCAGGTGAGATATAAGAGGTTAGGGCAAGAGCCTGCGGCGAGATATCAAATGGCATCTGTGCCTTAACCTGGTGAAGCAGGTAGGAGTCATGCTGAGACACCTTGTAATATATATAATTAGATGACTTTTGAGTCGACTCAAAAGGCATGCTGAGACACCTTGTAATATATATAATTTCTGGTGGGTATTGGAGCAACAGGGCTTGAGAGCAAGGGGGGGGGGGGGTAATGAGGAGGGGCTCATTCGCAGCATGCCCAAGAGCATGCGGAGAGAGATATCAAACGGCATCTGTGTCTTAATCTTGTCAAGAAGGTATGAGGAGAGGAGAAGCAGTTTTGAGACGTCTCAAAAAGTTTTGAGACATCTAACAAAAAAAAAGAGACATTAAACGCCATCTGTGTCTTAATCTTGTCGAGAAGGTATGGGGATAGGAGAAGCAGAGAGGATAGAGTGTAAAATCAACCACAGAGTCACTCCTGAGAATTCTCAAATGCTGCTTCACTATACTTCCAGAATTCAGACCACCACGGACCAGAGTAGAGCGTGTTGTGCACGTTGGGCGTGCTCGTGGTGCACTCTGCAGCTCTGGATGCTGAAATCACTTTTGAGATTTCTTAAAAGTGATTTCAACATAAGTGAATTCAACTTTTAAGAATTCTCAGACGTGGTTCCAGAGCAGTGTGTGTTGTGCACGTTGGGCGTGCATGTGGTGCACTCTGCAGCTCTGGATGTGAAGTGTGTGTGAGCGACTCAAAGCAAGGCGGCTCAGAAGTCAGCTTACAAGTCACGCTGTTCTCTCATCTGTCGGTCGTGTATTGTATCTCCCCCCCACAGGTGCCGCTGTTTCAAGTGGTGGACTCTGCAGCTCTAGATGCTGTATGTGAGCGGCTCAAGCCACTCATTCTCATTCATGGCACGGAGGTGAGCTGGCTGGCACACATGCACACATGCACTGATTAACACACCCAGTCTTTTGAGAGTTCTCAAACGACACACCTCGCCACACTGCCTGTTCCTGTTCCTCCTTGTACCAACGTTCTGCATCAGGACTTCTTTTGAATCTCTTGAAACCCTGCAAATCCTGTTGTCTTTGCGTCCGTACGTTCCAGTTTCATAAACATCAGCTCGCTCTAATGGACTGTCCACATCCATCCATCCATCCATCCATCCATCCATCCATCCATCCATCCATCCATCCATCCATCCATCCATCCATCCATCCATCCATCCATCCATCCATCCATCCATCCATCCATCCATCCATCCATCCATCCATCCATCCATCCATCCATCCATCCATCCATCCATCCATCCATCCATCCATCCATCCATCCATCCATCCATCCATCCATCCATCCATCCATCCATCCATCCATCCATCCATCCATCCATCCATCCATCCATCCATCCATCCATCCATCCATCCATCCATCCATCCATCCATCCATCCATCCATGATCGTACGGCAGGGAGAGCCCATGTGCATGATGCTGTTTTTCATCCGAGGCACCATTTCTTTACTTGATGCCCCATGCATCCATCGTATGCGCCCATGCATCCATCGTATGCGCCCATGCATCCATCGTATGCGCCCATGCATCCATCGTATGCGCCCATGCATCCATCGTATGCGCCCATGCATCCATCGTACACACACCATGAGCCATGGCTCTTCCAGGTGAGTGTACGTGCACCACACTCACTCAGTACAGCATTCACACCCACCATCCGCAGCACACACACCATGAGCCATGGCTCTTCCAGGTGAGTGTACGTGCACCACACTCAGTCAGTACAGCATTCACACCCACCATCCGCAGCACACACACCATGAGCCATGGCTCTTCCAGGTGAGTGTACGTGCACCACACTCACTCAGTACAGCATTCACACCCACCATCCGCAGCACACACACCATGAGCCATGGCTCTTCCAGGTGAGTGTACGTGCACCACACTCACTCAGTACAGCATTCACACCCACCATCCGCAGCACACACACCATGAGCCATGGCTCTTCCAGGTGAGTGTACGTGCACCACACTCACTCAGTACAGCATTCACACCCACCATCCGCAGCACACACACCATGAGCCATGGCTCTTCCAGGTGAGTGTACGTGCACCACACTCACTCAGTACAGCATTCACACCCACCATCCGCAACACACACACCATGAGCCATGGCTCTTCCAGGTGAGTGTACGTGCACCACACTCACTCAGTACAGCATTCACACCCACCATCCGCAGCACACACACCATGAGCCATGGCTCTTCCAGGTGAGTGTAGGTGCACCACACTCACTCAGTACAGCATTCACACCCACCATCCGCAGCACACACACCATGAGCCATGGCTCTTCCAGGTGAGTGTACGTGCACCACACTCACTCAGTACAGCATTCACACCCACCATCCGCAGCACACACACCATGAGCCATGGCTCTTCCAGGTGAGTGTACGTGCACCACACTCACTCAGTACAGCATTCACACCCACCATCCGCAGCACACACACCATGAGCCATGGCTCTTCCAGGTGAGTGTACGTGCACCACACTCACTCAGTACAGCATTCACACCCACCATCCGCAGCACACACACCATGAGCCATGGCTCTTCCAGGTGAGTGTACGTGCACCACACTCACTCAGTACAGCATTCACACCCACCATCCGCAGCACACACACCATGAGCCATGGCTCTTCCAGGTGAGTGTACGTGCACCACACTCACTCAGTACAGCATTCACACCCACCATCCGCAGCACACACACCATGAGCCATGGCTCTTCCAGGTGAGTGTACGTGCACCACACTCACTCAGTACAGCATTCACACCCACCATCCGCAGCACACACACCATGAGCCATGGCTCTTCCAGGTGTGTGCATGTGCATGCAAGCTTGTGCATCGAGAATCTACTTGCACACCATCCAAAGCGCACACACACGCGTGCGTGCGCACGCACGCACGCACGCACGCGCACGCACGCACACACATACACACACGCGCACCATTTGCAGCTACACACACACACAATGAGCCATGGAACTGGCAGGTGTGTGCATGTGCATGTAGGCACTATTCACAGCATTCACACACCTGTGTGAGCCATGAACCACGAGGTGTGTGCATGTGCTTCTGTGGGGAGGAGCTGTTCTCGTGGGGCCTGGGCCACTCCCCAGACACCAACCAGCTTTTGCGGTGCCTCAGCCTGTTTCCACTCACTGACTTGTGCTGCGCTCCTGCTTCTTCTCCCCCTTCTCGCTCTTCCTTCCTCCCCCCCTTCCCCTGCAGCTCCTGTCTCACCTGGGATGGCAGCTTCTGTGGCGAGGAGCTGCTCTCGTGGGGTCTAGGGCATTCCCCTGACACCAACCAGCTTCCCTCCGCTACTGTCTCGCTCTCCCTACTCCCCTCCTCCCTCTCATACTTCCCCCCCTTCCCTTTCAGCTCGTGTCTCATTCGGGATGGCTATTTCTGTGGCGAGGAGCTGCTCTCATGGGGGCTAGGGCACTCCCCTGACACCAACCAGTTGCCTTCCGCTACAGCCACTCTCACCACCGTCACGGCTGTGGAGGGGTTTGTGCTGGAAGCTGAAGACCTGCTGTTTGTGACAACGCACTTCAAGGTAATCTGGTACAGGGAAGGTGTCACAACACGCTGTCACGCTCGCTGCTTCCTCGCTGCCACAGCCACGCTCACCACAGTCACGGCAAGTCGAGGGCTTTGTGCTGGAAGCTGAAGACCTGCTGTTCGTTACAAAGCACTTCAAGGTAACCATGAAGTTACACCACACTAACCAGATGCGGTCTGCTACAGCCACTCTCAATCACCACAGTCATGGCAGTTACACTTCAAGGTAACCATAAAGTTACACCACACTAACGAGGGATTTGTACTGGAGGCAGAGGATCTTCTGTTCGTGACGAAGCACTTCAAAGGTATGCTGGTACAGGGAAGGTGTCACAACACGCTGTCACACTCGCTGCTCCCTCGCTACCACTGCTACTCTCACCACAGTCACGGCAAGTCGAGGGCTTTGTGCTGGAAGCTGAATACCTGCTGTTTGTGACAACGCACTTCAAGGTAATCACAGGGAAGGTTTCACAGCAAGCAGGTTCTCTCTTGCTGCTACCACTCTCACTACAGCCAAGGCGGTTTGGGGCTTTGTGCTGGAAGCTGAAGACCTTCTGTTTGTGACAACGCACTTCAAGGTAACCACGAGGTCCAGGACTTGGTTACTACAGCCACAGACGGTCACAGACGGCCCATACAGCTAAGTAAGCACAAGCCCCAGTGCTCACTAAGCACAGGGCTTAGTGAGCAGTTAACCGTGGCTTAGTGAGCAGCCCTCCCTCCCTCAGTCCCTCCCTCCCTCCCTCAGTCCCTCCCTCCCTTCCTCAGTCCCTCCCTCCCTCCCTCAGTCCCTCCCTCCCTCCCTCCCTCCCTCCCTCCCTCCCTCCCTCCCTCCCTCCCTCCCTCCCTCCCTCCCTCCCTCCCTCCCTCCCTCCCTCCCTCCCTCCCTCCCTCCCTTCCTCCCTCCCTCCCTCCCTGCCTCCTGTCTGCTCCTCTCCCTCCCTTCCTCCACCCGCAGTTCAACTGGAAGAGCCAGCGCATTCAGCTGTGGGTGCGCTACTACTCGCCACACTGGCGCACGTGGGCGGCTCTCACCATCCAGATCGTGTGGCGCCGCCACGTGGCACGGCAGCACGCCACGTCACTGCCACGGTCGCTCGATGCTCATGCTGACGTGGATGTGTGCGGTGGCCAGCTCACCACTGATACTCCCTCGGGCGCTCCTCCCGCATCTGCTGCCACTGCCCCTGCCCCTGCCCCTGTCCCTGCCACTGCCACTGCCACTACCATTGACACTCCCACCACTACCCTTATCAGTAGCACAGCCCCTTTGGACCCTACTCTAACTACAACAGCAACCGAGCAAGGGAGGGGGATACCAGGAGATAACGGTGGGGGTGGGACAAGGCTGGGCCGCCCGAGGATGGATGTAGACGAGATTGAGGCTCTACAGAGGCGTGACTGCATGCGGTTGTATAGTGCAATCTTCTCATCGCCCAAGCCCCGCGGCTCTATGGACAAAAATACCTAGCAAACTCATAGGAGATGGACTAGCTGTTCCCCAGATTGCATGTTGTCACTGGCATTGCAAGTCGGACAACACCATATGAATGTGTCTTTAACTGTAACCAGTATTACTTAGTATCTGATAGTTAGTTGTGCACTTTTATTTAGGTAGTTGGAGTATTTTGATTTGCATTTCACATCCCGTGTAAACCGTAGCATTGGGTCCTCACATGGAGATTCGATTCTTGATCTAGATGCGCCATGAGGAAGGAGTGGGGGGGGGGGGGGGGAGAGGCGGGGAAGCAAATCATTATTATGGGAGTGTGGTGTGGTGGGGAGGGAAAAAGTACTGTAATACGGCCTCCGCGTACATGCATATGGTCCACGACTACAGTGACACAGTCAGAGCAAGCCATATGAAGGGCGCTACTGTACACTGGGCCCAGTGCCACACGTAAATGATCTAGCCTGACCGCGTACAGTTTACAAGGTGGTGCAGATCAAACGTAAAATATTCCTAACACCATTGTGTAGGATAAACTAGGGATAACCGCCCACGGATGTCAAAATGTTAGAATGAGCTGCAAAAACTATGGGTCTGTTGCAGCTTTCAGAAAGATAATATTTTAGGCCCACGCGCTGAGATCGCATTGCTGCATTCCACCCCATCCCAACAATACTGCTTGGCATCCTCAAGGTATCCTGGGCTGGGCTGCCCAAACGGCTCCGTCTACACCGGGCCCTGTGGGAAATGACTTGCGTTGTGACCCAGAGGGGAACACGCGATGTGCCTACTCGAAACCATATGAGTGCACACAGCGTCCCCTCGCCACTTAGGTGTGAGCCAGAGGAGTTTGTTTTAGTGTTTGCGGTGGTTCGCAATAATGCTTGGTCGCACAAGCGTTTTTACTTATTTTCTTTCAACTCTCTCTAACAGTTGGTCGCTGGTGGGAAGAAGCTGGTTCGCACACTAATCCCAATTCAAGCAACAACCCATGACACTTCATTCCTCTCCGGACACGACACTCATATATGCCTCCACGTGCGCAAACGACCTACAGATTTAAAGCCGCGGTGCAGATATCCGGGCTCCAGTTCAAACTATTATAGTTTGAAAGCCGCGTAACCCAGTATACACAGGAAAGCGAGCAGGGAGAGGTTTCTGCCAGCGGGGGAAGGGCGTGCGGAAAAGTCCTTCGCAGTATGATGTGTGCGGGGGGGAAACGGGGGAGGGCTCGGGGAAAAGCTCCGCTCAACGAGTTGAGGGGGAGCGCATGCAGCAAACTTGAAAATTCAAACTTGAACTCAAAACAACTCGAACTCGGCAAACTCTCACGCTTTTGGTGAGCATTTGCGGAAACCAGCACTTACGGAGCAGCTTTTGCCTTCCCGATACACCATCATTAATGTTGTCATAAAGGCCCAAGGAGCCCAAAACAAGGGCTAAAAATCATGCCGGAAAGGCACGTGTGATCATCCAGACTCATACAAACGTGCGATCAGTGATTACCCAGACAGACAGACTCACACAAACGGACTGTTGCGGAAATTTTGACCGTACTAAGTAGAAAAAATTATGCCCTGGCCTCTATACATGTCTGGCCCAGTCCATCACCATCGATAGTCAGATCCTAATTATATAAGATGACAAGTTTAGTAACCTGGTATAGCTCTTATGCAACCAATGTTCATGACAAGTTCGCAACAAGTAAGTGAGATGTGTGTTGCAGGAGTGTACAGAATCCGGGCCGGAATGAGCATGGGATTGTCATTCCGTAAGTGAGCGTATAGTGTAGTTCATATGGGCAGGAAGTCTGGAACATGCAAGCAACAGTTGCCCAACTCTCTCCAGTTGTTGGAATCGTCGCGTACATCTGATCAAAGGAGAAACGTTTTGAAACAGTAGTGTGCCATCCCGTTGAGCAGGTTGCTTACAGTTTGTGACAATTTCTGCCCTGCGAGATAGAGCGCTCTGTCCAAACCTTTACTTTTGTTTTCAGTGTTCACGATGTATGTGAGCCGGTTCCATCGTTTAACAGTTTATTCTCTGTTTATGGAACTTCACGTATCCGACTCAAGAAATCAGTATAAAACAAATATTAGTACATTGTTGTGTGGACCACACCCATCAACGTTCCACTTCGTTCACGACCTGGCTCTTGATTATACCCTACAAAAGTGTGTGTCTAACTTGCTGAAAACTTGAATGAGAATATAGATTTGTGTGGGGTAGGATCTTGAGGGTCCCCACGTTGATGACAGGGCCTTGGAAACGCGCTTTCTCTTTTATACAGTGTACCAACTCGTTCCTGCAATGATTACTGCGAAGTTCTCCTCACAAAACAGCTACTGCTGGCCGATAGTGTACAAAAGTGTCCTGCCCCACTCGTTGCTGTGCTGTACTTTGTCCCGGCAGAGTCTGTCCGTAGCAACGAGACCACCGTGTTCTTCTTGCCTTTGCAGCTGCTACTGTTCTTGCGTCAATGTGTTTGTTTAGGTATCACCTTCCAGACATTACACGAATATGCTACATTCCAGAAAATTATGTTTCTTTCCAGTTTTGATCAGCGTACAATCAGATCTCTGCTTAACTAAATCTTGGGTCCCTGTGGGCAAGTCGCGATCGGGTCGTTAAATCTTTCCGCTGCTAACCTTTTTGGTACCACCCGAATTGTCCGTGTTATAGATTTTTTTTCTCCAAAAACGCATGCTTCCTCAACATACACGCTCGACCTCTTTAACCTGGCGAGGCGGACAACGATCGACAGCCGGGTGTGGGTACACCAAAGCCCCCCCCCCCCCCCTTCGACCTTAACCTCACCTCCATTGCTGCAGGGTAGCAAGAAACACAAAATGGGGCTTAAATAAGTGTGCCTTCCACCTCTTCCACCAGCTTCACCATTTCCGACCTTGGTCTTGCACAACCACCACCCTAGCTGTAAGCATCGCCTCCATGCCGCGTTAGAGAAATTTCAGTCCACACAAATGTGTGTCGGAGGGTACAGCATCCTTAGGCACACGCACACCTTTGCACAGTCGAGGCCCCTGCTATTACCTACTTTCACGATGAGAATGACAGCAGACGATGCATCTCTACTTAGCGACGAGCAGCAAAACCTAGACTTAGGAACTACAGCTGAAATGGCGGTCAATAAAACTCACACTCATTCCGAATGTCTCCCGCTTACTTCCGCGAAAAACGGTGACATTGCCTCGCCTCCCCGTCCCGGTCAGCCAGAACTACGAAAATCCTCTAGCAAACGCTCAGCTGCTTCAATGCTAGAAGGATCGGACGGCCATGGATCGAGGACGGATGGATCGACGCATAGCACGAGGAGTGCTAGCAGCGCGCCGAGCGGGAGTCAGGCTGCGGTTGCGGCGGCTGACGCTGGCTTTGCCGGTGCCGCTGCGGAAACACACAATGCAAGGTGAAGCTCCCCCGGCGATGTTGCGGTGTTAGAAGAATAATATCGAAAAACATCTCGAATAGCTGTTGTGGCTTCGAAAAAACAATCCCACTACCCTCTGAGATCTAGGTTAGAGATGACTCATAATGTATCTGATCCTGTTCGTAGGTGTAAGTATCTCGCCGCCGAAATTGGCAGGCTGTCACACGGATTCCTCCCCCCAAGCTCTCGAATGTCAATGACCTAACAGAAGTGTCTTAGGGAAACTCTATGGGCCAATCTGAACCAATGTGGCCCAGCCGTGGACAATTCTGAAATAGGTTCTTCGACTTCTTGTCTTCACGTGGCCGCAATGAGCACAGTAGGTTAGAATGCGGAAACTGCTGTCAAGAATCCGGCTGTCACGAATCCGGCTGCTTTCTGCAATCCAGACAGACGTGAATCACGCACTATATCGTCCATGGAAAATCTGGCCTTCCAAATGTGACCCGTGGAAGCGACCAACTCAAAGGGATCCGTGCCCAGACTCGCCGAGTCTTAAATACCTTTTGAGCAACTTATTCTCTCAGCTGCGGCGCCATGCCATGCAATGCAGCGCATTGCACGCCCTGCGTTGCTCTGCCGCGGCACTGCTCTGCTGAAGGCTCTGCCTCCTGCCGCTGCCTTTGTATCCTGCTGCGAGATTGAATTCTGTACGCTCTGCTGCTGCGATGCATGCCTTGCCAGATGCGTGGCGATTAAGCAATGCTGCTGCTCTCCCACCGGCAGGAGCAGAGCACGAGGTGACTCTTGAGTCAAGTCAAAAGTCTCTGCTGCCTCCTGTCTTTGTGTCCTGCTGCGACATTTAAATCTGTACGCTCTCCTGCCACGATTCTGTCTTGCCAGACGCGTGGAGGCCACGCGATGCTGCTACTCTTCCACGGGCAGAACACGCTCGTTTGAACCAGGAGACGAGTTTCGATGCGCCTCAAAGTGCCCCACGAGCAGAACATGGCGTTCCTATAAAGCAGGAGAAGCAAGTAGCGGCCGCAGCTGGTCTGCTTCCTCGGGATGCTACCACCTGCTCATGCCTGCGGCTCCACCCCCCACCTCCCCTCCTCCCCCCCCCCCCTCTTTCCAGCCCATCCCCAACCCACCGAACCCCATTCTTCAGTCCCTCTGTGCTTGTAACGCAGGAGAGGCAAACTAATGGCCCAATCTCTCTTCGAGCTGCAGCGGCACGCATGTGAACCCACTCCACCCCAATCCACCTCACTCCACCCCACTCCACCTCACTCCACCCCGTTCCACCTCACTCAACCCCTCTCCACCCATTCGTGAGTTCCTGAAGCAGGAGAGGCAAGAAACGATCCAAGCTGGTTTTCTTCGAGCACTGCCGCAGCAGCACGCATGTGAATTCACTCCACCCCACTCCATCACATTCCACTCCACCCTACCCCTCTGTGCTCCCGAAGCAGGAGAGGCAAGAAGCTGTCCAAGCTGGTTTGTTTTTAGCATCGGCTCCCTCGGGTGTGCTTCCACTCCACTCCATCAGATTCCACCCAACTCCACCCCACTCCACCCATTCAAAACCCTCTTTGCTCCCAAAGCAGGAGAGGCAAGAAGCGGTCCAAGCTGGTTCTCTTCGAGCATCGGCTCCCTCACGACGGCTATGTGTGGCTCAAGTACGGACAGAAGGAACTGTCTGGCGGAATCTATACGCGGTAAGAGCAGGTTGAGCCAGTACGATAGGTTAGAACCAGGTGAATCACTAGTGCTTCAGACTGGTTCGTTCTCACCAACACCCTTGCAAGCAACGGGCTACGTGTGGCTCAAGTACAGGCAGAAGAAGCTATCAGGCGGAGTGTACACGCGGTAAGAGCATGTGGAGCCAACACCAATGGTCACCACCAGGTGACTCGATAGTGCTTCTGATTAGTTCTTTCTCATCCGGCTGACTCAAGTACCACTGAATAAGTACCTGATGGATGATGCACATCTTGTACCATGTGATGCTTGCTGGAGGCAAGGGTTTAGGGTCCGCATCAAGGCCGTGATTCTGAGCTTTTAGCAGCTCAGGCATCAGCCCGGAAAGCGTCTTCCCACCCTTGTCTCTGCTTGATATGGGCGTGGATAACCCGTTCTCCCACCTCCCTCTCAACCTTCTTTCCCTGAGCCCCCCTTTCTCATTACATTTCTCTCCCAGGCACCACCTCTGCTGCGCACAGAGGGACTCATCGCTCGAGTGCCAGGCCAACTACTGCGCACGAGGGGCGAATCGTGGACTTCTACTAGATTGCGTCCGTGTCTCTCCCTTCGGACCTCCACCTCCTCCCTCCTTCCCACATTTCCCACCTCTCCTCCCTCCCTCTCTCCTTCCCCCTTCTCCCTGTCCTTCTCCCTCCCCTCTCCCTCGCCCCTACCACCTCCCTCCCACTCCACCCCCCTTTACACCCCCCAGGCACTACTTTTGCTGCGCACAGAGGGACTCATCGCACGAGTGCCAGGCCAAGCAGATCGTCGACTTTAGAAAAATCGCCTCTGACAACCCTCTCGGCCTCCATGCCCTCTCTCTCCCCTCCGTGCCCTCTCCCCCTCGAACCCTTTCCCCGCCAGGCACTACTTCTGCTGCGCACAGAGGGACTCATCGCACGAGTGCCAGGCCAAGCGCATCGTCGACTTCAACAAAATCGCCTCTGACGGCCCGTTGGGCCTCTCATACGTGGGAGAGCACAACCACCTGCCGCTCCTGCACAGCGAACCCTTCCCTTTCTCAATCTCTTCCCCTTTCTCCCTCCCCGTTCTCCCTCTTCCCCTTCCTGCTTCCCGTCGCTCCCCTTGCTTTCCTCTTCACTCCTTCCCCCAGGCACTACTTCTGCTGCGCACAGAGGGACTCATCGCACGAGTGCCAGGCCAAGCGCATCGTCGACTTTAACAAGATCGCCTCAGACGGGCCTCTGGGCCTCTCATACGTTGGAGAGCACAACCACCCGCCGCTGCTGCACAGCGAACCCTTCACCCTCAACCCCTCGCACCCCACGCACCCCACGCATCCCTCGCAGCCCACCACTCCTACCACTCCGGTCTATCCTGCCAATGCGACAACCACTCCCACCAGCAGCAGCGCTCCTAGTGGCAACCCTGTTACCGCCGCAGATTTTCGCGATACTGTTGCTGCAGTGGCTGCATGTGACGTGATGGATGCTCGAAGGGAGCAAATGACACCCCCACCTTCTCTCACTGCTCCGGCCACCGCTGCTGCTGCTCCTGCTGCTGCTGCTGCTGCTGCTGCTGCTGCTGCTGCTGCTGCTGCTGCTGCTGCTGCTGCTGCTGCTGCTGCTGCTGCTGCTGCTGCTGCTGCTGCTGCCACTGCCACTGCCACTGCTGCTGCCACTAGCACCACTGCTGCCGTCGCTGCTGCCACCGCAGCCATTGCTGCTGCTGCACCTACCGCTTCTGCCGCTGCTCTTGCTCCTGCGGCTTCTTCCTTTCCGTGCCTGGCTCGTGACGCCATAAGAAACAGCTACATCTCCCCACCACCTCCTGCATGTGGCGAGACAATTCTCGGGGCGCCGCAACTATCATCCATGCCCGCGGCACCCATGGCAGGAGGTGCAGGTGGCGATGCGTCCAGATGCGCTGCATCTAACGAGACAATTCTTGGGGCGCCTCAATCATCGTCCATGGCCATGGCACCCATGGCAGGAGGTGCAGGTGGCGATGCGTCTAGATTAAATGCATCTGCGTTGGGGCTGCATGGTGGGTCGAGTTTAAGGCCGGATGGTGGCACATCAGGGGCGGTGGAGCAACAAGTGCAAGGGATGATGGGAGCAGCGCAAGCGTATGGCTCGTGGGCGCAGAATGAAGTGCATCAGTTGGAACAGCAACAGCAGCAGACTGGAGCTCAGGGAATGCAGCCGGGGCATCAGCAGCAGCAACAGATGAGCTTTTGGCCACAGCCAAATGAGCACCAACAGCAGTGGCAGCAACAGCAGCAACAGCAGCAGCGTTATCAGCAGAACTTTCAGCCACAGCAGCAGCACCAGCAGCAGCAGCAGCAGCAGCAGCAGCAGCAGCAGCAGCAGCATTACCAGCTGAATATTCAGCCACAACAGCTTCAGCAGCAGCAGCAGCAGCAGCAGCAGCAACAGCAGCGGCCGCAAAGCCTGATCCAACAAAACCAGCAAAACTATCCAATGTTCCAGCAGCAGCAGCATCCCTTTCAGGAACATCAGCCGTTGCAACAACAGCAGCCATCGCAACAGCAGCAGCCATTGCAGCAGCAGCAGCCGCCACACCTGCTGCTCCAACAACAGCATCTTCCTGAGCCGCAAGCGCAGCACTCACAGCAGAACCAGCCACTACAGTCCCCGCAAATACAGTCACCACACCTGCAGTCCCCGTGCCTACAGTCCCCGCAAGCACAGTTCCCTCAGCAGTGGCAGGCGGCTCAGGGCTTGCTGCATGAATCGATGCCACGAGCGAATCAGCTGCTGCAGCAGTGGCCGCAGCAGCAGCAGCAGTGGCCGCAGCAGCAGCAGCAGCAGCAGCAGCAGCAGCAGCAGCAGCAGCAGCAGCAGCAGCAGCAGCAGCAGCAGCAGCAGCAGCAGCAGCAGCAACCACTGTTGCAACAACAGCAGCAGCAACAGACCTGGCAGCAAAATCAACCTTCTTCCACCCTCCCTCATCCCAGCAAAAGCCAATCCTTCCACGAATCTTCCTATTCAACCACCCCATTGTCGTCCCCTCCCACACGCACCTCCACTCCCCTCCCACCTCCACCGTACTCAAACCCAGCTGCCCCACGTTCCCTCACCCCTCCAGCAGCAGCAGCAGTAACAGCGACGGAGGGGGGCTTTCAGGTTCATCTACGGTCCAACCCATCAGTCCCATCTCCCTTCTCTGCTGCGCCATCTTCCACAGAGCAACAAGGCGGCCCAGCAGCAGCAGTGCTGCCGGTAAAGCAGGAAGGCAGAAGCAGCAGCGGCAGCGGCAGCAGCATTGGCGGAATGCAGGAGGTGGTGGGAGGTGGCATGAAGAGTGGCCCCCCAGGAGGAGTGTATCTGGTGCAAGAGGTGATGGGTGGTATACCACCAGGAGGGTCGCTCGCACAGGGGATGCCTGGTGGAGCCATGCAGGGAGCATCTCTGGCACAAGGCATGGAAGGAGGTGCTATGCAGGGAGTATCTCTGACTCAAGGCATGCCTGGTGGAGCCATGCAGGAAACATCTCGGACACAAGGCGTGGATGGAGGTGCTATGCAGGGAGCATCTCTGGCACAAGGCATGGTTGGAGTTCTACCAGGAGCGACTCTAGCGCAAGGGATCATGAGTGGGCTTTCCAACCTTCCTGACCTTCCCAGCATTCCTGTGGTCCCACTGGTCCCAGCCTTTTCTAACCCTCCTGGCGGTTCTAGCCTTGCCGGCGTGTCTGGTGGGTCTGGTGTTGTTGCCCTTCCTTCAGTTCCTGGCATGTCTGCTATCGCTGGCGTTGGCGCCGTTCCTCACGTTCCCAGTGTTCCCTGTGCTCCCGGCGTTCCTGGCGTGCCCGCAGTGTCTGTGGATGTGTTGAACCAGCTGCTGAACAAGGAGTGTAGCCTGGGGCCCTCGGACCCGATGCTGCAGGGGGGAGACCTCATGCACCTGCTTGGCATGCACCTGCTGCAGCAGCAGGGAACTCACTTGCAGCAGCCGCAGCAGCCGCAGCAGCAGGAAAGGCAGCAGCTGCAGCAACAACAGCAACAACAACAGCAGCAGCAGCAGCAGCAACAATTGCATCAGCAGCAACCGCAGCAACAACAGCAGCAGATGCAGCAGCAGAACTGGCATGCGCAGGAGCAAGTGCCCTTGTCGCAAGGTGCGAGCCTACATGCCCAAGTGAAGCAGGAGGAGCAGCAGGAGCAGCAAGTGCAGAACTTGCCGGCAGTCGGTTGTGAGCACCCACTGCAGGAGCAACAACAAAATTGGCGAAATCCGCAGAACCAGCAACAGCAGAATCAGCGGAATCAGCAGAATCATCAGCAGCAGAAGCAGTGGTAGCAGAATCAGCAGCAGCAGAGTCAGCAGAATCAGCTGAACCAGCAGCAGCAGAATAAGCAGAACCAGCAGAACCAGCAGCAGCAGCCTCTCCCTTGGACCTCGGATACTGGCCAAAATGCCCCGTGCTGCACCTGTGACTGTGCACACATGCCCCCCACCTATGATTCTGGGAACAGCATGGCAAACAGCATGAGGAGCAATCCGAGTTGCGTAGGTAATGAGGCCACAACGATAGGTGGTGATGCTGCTGTGACGGCTAATTGTGGTTCGGGATGTCAGTTTCATGGTGTAGCTGAAAACGCGACGATCTATATGCATGGGGACAGCAGGAGCGGCTTTTCTGCAATGGTGGAAGAGGTGTGCGGTGGTGAATGGTTACCGCCGTTGCAGCAGCCGGCAGGGACACAGGTAAAGCAGGAGAATGAGGTTAGGGATCAGCACACGGTGCTGCTGCAGCAGCAGCAGCAGCAGCGGCAGAGCCAGCACCATCACCAGCAGCAGCAACAGGAGCAGCAGCAACGCCAGCACCACCACCAGCAGCAGCAGAACCAGAACCAGAACCAGCAGCAGCAGCAGCAACAGCAGAACCAGCAACAGCAGCAACACCAGCAGCAGCAGCAGCAGCAGCAGAACCAGCAACAGCAGAACCAGCAACAGCAGCAACACCAGCACCAGCGGCAGCAGCAGCAGCAGCAGCAGCAGCAGCAGCAGCAGCAGCAGCAGCAGCAGCAGCAGCAGCAGTACCAGAACCAGAACCAGAACCAGAACCAGAACCAGAACCAGAACCAGAACCAGGACCAGAACCAGCACCAGCACCAACAGCAACAGCAAAACCAGCAACAGCAGCAACACCAGCACCACCAGCAGCAGCAGAACCAGCAACAGCAGCAACACCAGCACCAGCGGCAGCAGCAGTACCAGAACCAGAACCAGAACCAGAACCAGAACCAGAACCAGCACCAGCACCAGCACCAGCAGCAACAGCAGAACCAGCAACAGCAGCAACACCAGCAGCAGCAGCATCTTCAGCCGCAGCAGCAGCACCAACAACAGCAGCACGGGCAGCAGCAGCTCTTCTCGAATCAGCTGATTGGCATCGCGGAGCACATACCGAGCTCATTCATTGACACGCGAAGTGTCCTCGCCATGGTTGCGGGTTCGTACGACCATCCGACGCCGCTGCTGCGAGGGATCAATTCTACAATGTCTGCACGACCTGCCGCTACAGGTGCGGCTTATCCTGCAGCATCAGATGCATCACCAGCTGAGCAATCAGCCGTTATTTCTGGTGCAGTAACACGAACCCCGTCGTCATCGCAACTGAGTCAGCGTGAAGTGCTGAGGATTCAGGAGGTCTGGCGACGTTTGAAATGGATGGAATGGAGAGAATAGAAGCAGGCGAAGGAGCAGAATCTACTTTATGAGTTGACCTTTTGATTTGATTTGATTTGACCACTTCCAGTGTGAGCTTGCAGTTGAATCTTCTGTTTTCTTCCTCTCCAGTTTTCCCCAGCATGATGGGATGGTGAGACTGGAGAGGTGGAAAACAGATGGAGGAATAGAGATTTTGCTAAGAGCATATGTTTCTTCTTTTTCTTGTTCTTTTGGGGGAAGATACATAAATGAAGGGCTTTGCATATGGCTATTAGGAATGCATGTAACGATGCTTCTTGACATTAGATTAGGGCTTCGATTCAATTCAGTTGCAAACGGAACAAGTAGGATTGTAACGAAAGTGGTGCTACTTATTGGAATGGTCTAAGCTAGGAATCTTACGAGCCAACTTGGGCATGAACCATGCTAGAACCGAAGGGGTTTCCAAGAAGTGAAGTTCCAACAAGAGTGATCCCTAACCTATAAGGTTTGGGAGGTGGTCCACTCCAAAGAGTGTACACCACAAGTTATCCCAACCCAACCAATGTATTCTACACTACTATAGTGTAGATCTAGCACTACATATGTTTATTGGAGCAACCCGAATTAACCATAATTCCAACACCCCCCTTTGCTCCAATAAGCATTAAAGTTCACCCATCAATCAAAACACAACTTCTTTAGCGAATGAAGCCTTGGCCCTTAAAGACATCACTCGCATGCCGATGCGCTCAAGATTCTCATGCAGCTGCAAGCTTGGGAGAGCTTTGGTGAGCATGTCGGCATCCTGGAGGTGGGAGCGTACTGAGTGCACCTCGACCTCCTGCTGGCGCACCGCATCCCGAACAAAGTGCCAAGCCACCTTAATGTGCTTGGTGCGCTGATGGAGAACGGGATTGTGGGCAAGGGAGACAGCAACCTCATTATCACTGAACAATGGAATAGCCCCCCCATTGCTCAGATGCATCTCTGCCAACAAGCTCCTCATCCAAATGGCCTCCTTGGCCCCCTCCGATAGAGCCTTATACTCAGCTTCAGAAACGCCCGCTGCAACACTGTCTTGCCTTTTGCTATACCAGCTGATAGCTCCTCCTCCCAACTTGAAGATGTAGGCAGAGCGACTCTTGCCATCAGTCTCACCACCCCAATCCGAGTCGGTGTACCCAACAACATGCTCACCACCTTGGCGTTCATACCTGATGACACGATCAGCTGTGTCGACCAAGTACCTGAGTGCTCTCAGTGCAGTGCGCATGTGAATGTGTCTTGGTGCCACGCAGGACTGTGCAAGGGTGTTAACAGTGAATGACATGTCAGGACGGGTAGTCACAGCAACATACATCAGGCTGCCAATGAGACCCTGGTATACCTTGACATCAGCTGCAGCACCTTCCTCACTTGACTAAGTACATTTCCTGATCTTAGAGAGATCATTGGGTGACATGGGAGTATGCACCCTATGTGTCTCCTTCAGCAAATCACCAAACCTTCCCTGAAGACCACGGACATACTTCTCCTAACCAATCTCCAACCACCCATCCTTGACCGACTTGCGGACCTCCACACCAAGGTACGTGGATACCTCACCCAGATCCTTCATCTGGTACCTCTGAGCAAGCACCTCTTTGACCCGAGCAATCAGCTCCAAGCATGGAGACATAAGCAAGAGGTCATCCACATACACCAATACAAACACAGGCTCTCCATCCACAAACCTGATGTACAGAGCCTCATCGCATGCACTGCGGTCAAACCCTACTGCAATCAGGGTGGTACCAATCTCCTCATTCCAGGCACGAGGCGCTTGCTTGAGCCCATAGAGAGCTTTGCGCAAGCGATATACCCTACCTGTACCATCATCGAATCCCTCAGGTTGCCTCACATACACCTCCTCCTGAAGGACTGCATTGAGGTAAGCATGATCATCATCCTCCTGTTGTACATGCCACCCTTTTACCGCGGCTTCTGCAAGAAGCACCGGACCTGAGGTGAGCTTGCCCACAAGGGCAAATACCTTATCATAGTCCTTCTCGGGCTCCTGAGTGTACCCCTTAGCAACAAGGCGAACCTTGTGCTGTACCACCTTATCCTCCTTGTCAGTTTTCCTGCGGAAAACATACTTGACCCCAATGGCCTTCTTACCTGGAGGTAAGTCGACCGGCTCTGGATCCCATACACCCATAGTGCGCATGGCATTCACCTCCTTCTCAGCGCCTGCCTTCCACACAGGGCCCCCAGGGCCACGCAGTGCCTCAGCGAGTGTGCGTGAGACATCACCGGTGCTCACACCTGCTAGTGCAACACCCTCCACCTCTCTGGCCAAGCACATCATGCCCTCAACCACACCAGCATCCCCCCCTACCTCCTCACCACCTATACCAGACCAGACACCAAGCACCTGCAAACTTGTAACCGGTGGTGGGGAGGTAGACACTGGTGACAAAGGTTCACTCGAAGATAGAGTGACAGGTCGCTGACCAGAGGAGGAGGAAGAGGAAGAAGCCTGTGTAGCGGATCTCCGCTGAATGACCGAGGGGCCGCTGAGCTGCTGCAGAGGGGTGGGCTGCTGCTGCACCGACACAATCAGCGGTGCCGGTGGCGGTGATGAAGGTGGCATCTCAGCGTCGTCAACCGCTGCTGAGGGTGGCGAGAGTGGAAGAGGGAGGAGCTGGGAAATCTCAGCTGCATCCTGCAGGAGCTCCCCAAATCCCTTTGCCTTGTCCCAATCCTTCCACGTCACATTCTCAAGAAAATCAACATCCCGAGCAATGCGAATGCGCATGAGAGAAGGGTCCAGCATGCGCCAACCCTTGCTCTCCATGTCCACCCCAACACAGACACACATGACAGCGCGTGCATCAAGCTTGCCACCCTTCTCATGCCCATGCAACATGACACTCCCCATGCAACCCCAAATCCGAGCCATGCCCACATGTGGCTTCTGGCCGGACCACGCCTCCATTGGTGTGATGGAGGCAGGCAAAGCCCTGTGGGTGACCCTGTTCTTAACCCACACGACCCACATCAATGCTTCACCCCACAAGCGAGCAGGGAGACCACTGTCGACCAACAATGTGCGAATCCCCTCTGCCATCGTCCTGTGCCACCTCTCCACCACCCCATTCTGCTGCAATGTATCTACAACGCTTAATTGAATTTTGATGCCAAACTAAGCCTTCCATGCTTTCACAGCTTCCCCCAAGAACTCGCCACCCTTGTCTGAGCGAACAGCCTTCAGCTTCCGCCCAGACTCCAACTCCACGTCCTTATGCCATTGGCAAAGAACCTTTGCGACTGTGGTTGATTCCTTGTTGGGGAGTGGGAACGACCAAACTCGTCTGGTAAAGTCGTCAATGAGGCTGAGGACATACACCGCTCCCCCTAGTGACGGTGTGCGCACTGGCCCCCGCAAGTCCATGTGGACCTCATCCAAAGGCCCAAGTGCCCGAGACGCCTCATGGGGAAACGGCTTTCGAGTCGACTTTCCCAAAGCAAGGCTCACATGGAGAGCAATCAGTGCTCCCTCCCCCAATCTCCAAGCCAAGAACACTGTTCTCCTGAGCCATCGGTTGCAGTGTCGTGGGGGCGGTATGACCAAGGCGGCGGTGAGCAAGGGTCAATGGAGAAAATGAGGAGGATGATCTAGCTGCAAGAGCACTGCCCTGTGTACCCCGAGCAAGAGGAAGAGACATCCGCACCAATCCATGGTCCCTTCCCCCCTCCTTTTCTCCAATCGCCAAAACCCTCTCCCCCCGTTTGATAACACATCCCGTGCCCTTGAATGTGACAATGACATCCCGAGAGGAGAGGTGTGGGATTGACAGCAGACGCGTGTGCATCTCAGGCACAAGGTGGACCTTTTGAATCCTTAGTAGCTGACCTCTAGCACCAGCCACTAGCACCTCACCCATGCCAACAGCTTTCACCACCCATCCATCTCCCAATCTAACTACCCGAATCTCAGGTGGCTCAAGCTTACTCTTGAAATCTGATGCAAAAGGAGTAAAGTTGTGGCTGGCCCCACTTGCTCCCCTCCTACTGCTGCAACTGCCTCTCCAACCGCTACCTCTGCCTTGTCATCCTGCTCCTCCTCATCCGCCACATGTGCCTTGCCATTGGACCCACGACCCCCCCGCTGTAAGAATGTCGGAATTCCTCCTTTAGGTCGGTGAGGACATCACTGCCATGCATGCCCCTCATCCCAACAGCCATGACACAACCCCCTAGGAGCCATGCCCTTGGACCCCCAAGGGAAATCAAGCACTTCTGCTTTGCCTTTCCCCTGACCCCATTTGCCCAAGTTGGTGCCGCTGCTGCTACCACTGCCTCCATGCTTTCCCCCCTTGTCCCAGTTTCCCCTGCTGCTGCTGCCCACTTTCGTACCCGCTCCAAAAGTGGCTACACCATCCGATCTTGGTGCGACACCAATCCGCATCTCCTCGCTCCTCAAAGAGGTAAGCAGCTGATCCTTAGTGAGCGATGATGATTGGTTGTTCAGCACCACCTTCAGCATCTCAAAGTGAGGAGGTAGTCCTTTGAGTACCCTCATTATCCACTCCTCAACCTCTTCCTTCCCTCCTGCAGCCAAATAATTGGACCTCAAGTCATCGGCAAGCGCCCAGTATGCAGCCACTCCCTCCCCCTCTTTCATCTTCAAGGAAGAGAGCTCCTCAGAGAGTGCCATCCGGTTACACAATCCACGCTGAAGGTAGAACTCCTTCACTCGTGTGTATGCTGCTGCTGTGCCTGCAGGAACTCGGATGACCGCTCTTGCTCCGCCATCAACAGGTGCGCTGCCCAACTCAATCTGGCCGCCGAACTCCCGTACCAAGCAAATTAGCTCATCTGGCACCAAGGCATTGCAGAATTGAGCGAATGCCTTTCGATTTTTCCTCTCCCACTTCAGCCATGCGTCACCCGATGCAGGCCGCTCCTCCGAGCCATCAAAGTACCCCCATAGATCGTGCGCCTCTGCCCATTGTTCGAATCGGAAGCCCCAAGTCCAATAGTCGCTCCCGTCAAACTTTGGCACACTCTCCAGCTTCCCTTCGCCTGAGTCATGATCCATTTGTGGCAGACACACTGAAGGTTGACGTTGAGGTGGTGGTGGAGGCAATGGCGGCGGCGGTGAAGACGATGTGGGCAGATTCTCCCCCTCTTGGTTCTTGGAGCGTAAATCCGCGCTCGAGCCTCCGAATGATGAGCCGTTAGGCTCAGACAAATCCTCGCTTCAAGACCGTTCCAATGGTGTATCGTGCTCCTGGATCCCGCATCCGAGCTGTCCGCTTAAACTCATCGAAGTTGGCCGATTTTTCGTCGACGAAGACTCGACCGTTTCTCCCGATTTTTGGCTTGTTTGATGCGCCCTGGCCTCCTCTCTTGGCGTCCGCCCTCCAATCCCTTTTCCGCGCATTAAATCGTCCCCGATTCGTGATTTTTCAATTCGTCCGCCGACTGTATTTCGCGAATTGCGTCCAATCCGCTCGTCGATTTGTGAGGACTCCGGGGCAACTGTTGTAGATCGTCTTAAAGCAAGGGTGCACTTTGGGGGGGTGGAGGCAAAGGTTTATCACTTGCCTCTAGATGGTTACCGGGTTTTGGTAGGGCGTGGGAGGCGACAAATTTTTGCCCCAACCCCTGCGGAGAGTGACGAGGTGTTCCCCCCTGCCAGTAGTGCGCGAAGGAAATGGGGTTGGGAACTTGCAAGTACCGCAGTGGAGTTCGTGTACCAAAACTCACTCCAAAACAACAACCCAACCACAAAAGCAGAGGGCTCGCCTGTAACAGTGTGGCAGCCGAATGCTACCAAGTACAGTGCAGGTGGGCGAAAGTCAAGCGCCACCTCACCAACTGTTCGTATTGGTCAAACGCCTCAACCTGCAGCTGGGCGACCAGATCCTGACGCGCAGCCCAAGTCAATCCCACCAACGAAAATTACGAAACGCAGAACACCGAAGTTCCGACCCCTCGCCGACTTCGCCAACCACACCGACGAAGTTACAGCCTTGTAATCAACTCGTCGACCAATCCCGCATCGCAATCAATCTTTGAATTTCACGGCAAGGTTCATTTCAAGGGGTAGAGTTACCAATAAGAATTTCAGAGTGTCGCAACTTGGTAGCGCGACTCGATTTGTGAACGCATCCTATAAAATTGTGTGTGAAACTTGTTGAAGTCATATTGTAAATTCCAAAGGAATCCCAGAGAGCATCTTGTATCCGTTACTCAAGCTTACTCAAGCCTACTAAGGCTGATACCTTCCTGCCAGCAACGTTTCACGGGTAATCAGAGCCTGGTTATTCATTTCGTACGCTCCTGCCATATTCTAGACGCTATGGCTGGGCCGTCGGATATGACGCCGGAACTCTGGAACGAGTTTGTTGCTAATATGCGCCGAGAGATTGAACGCCAGGTGCGTGACCGGATTCTCGGAAAACTCCAGGAACGTGGACTCCTGGGCACACAGGTGCCGGCGCTAGCACCTGCTGTGGTCTCTGCACGCCTGAAAGCACCTGAACCTGAGCCGTTTGTCCCTGGAAAACGGGACTTACCTGTGCGAAGATGGCTCTTCCAAATGGAGGAGTACCTTTCCCTATGCCACGTGAACCAAGCCGAATGGGTGCGGCACGCTGGCATGATGCTGCGAGGCGCTGCTGCTACTTGGTGGCAGAGCTGCCACGCTACAATTTCAACATTGGAAGAATTTTCAGCATCGCTCACCATGAACTTCGAACCTGTCAACGCGATTGAACGCGCTCGTGACAACCTCGCTGCACTACGCCAACACCGCTCCGTAGCCGAATACGTCAACCGCTTCTGGGATTTGGTGCTGGAGATTCCCGACATCCCTGCCTCCGAGCAGATAGATAAGTTCAAGTGTGGGCTGAAACCAAAATTTCGCACCGAAGTGGAGCTTCGCGGATGCACGTCGATGGATGATATGATCCGTGTGGCAGAACGCTTCGATACGATCAACTTCGCTGCGTTCCAACGCTTCAACGGCATGAGGATGGGTCACACGAATTACGCTCCAGCTATTCGTGCAAACGGTCCTACACCCATGGAGCTGGGAATGATGGAGAGGCAGCCACATAATGCCTCAAACGTCATGTGCTACCAATGCGGGAAGATGGGGCACATCAAGCGGAACTGCCCCAATCGACGCAACCCGAACGGAGGACGGGGAAACGGACAGCGCCAACAGCTGTGGGGCAGACCTCTGGCGCATCGCATGCCCCGCTTCTCCCGACCCCATTGTTCATCGGCACCTCTGAACTCTACACCACATCAAACGCTCCATTCCCCGCCATCATTCTATACGCAAAAATAGCTACGTTGACTTTCTGCTCGATACTGGAGCTTCAACAAATTTCCTCTCTCCCTCAATTGCTGCTGAACTTTCTCTCCCCGAAGATCCCAACAGCAACCCGCAGGACGTGATCATGGCAGATGGTACTCGGCGGGGCTGCGTCCCTACCCTCCTCCCCGTAGACTGCATGTTTGGAAGTTTGGAGGCGACGGTCACGTTTGAGCAACTGCACCTCGGCGGGTACGAAGGCGTTATCGGTCGACCATGGTTGCACCAGTTTGGACCGCGGATTTATTGGCGCAACGGAACTGTCACCGTCGGCAACTATGACCTCCCATCCCACTCCTACCGTCGACCATGGTCATCCCCAACCAGTTTAGCTTCATCAACCCATCCACCCCAGCCTGCCCCATCTCCATCCTCCCATATCCCCCCTCTCCCTCCTCCTCGCATAGCTCCCGCGCAGCAGCCAACACCACCCTGCTCTCCCGAAGTAATCAACACACCTCCTCCTTCTCCACCCCACCCAACTCGGCAGCCACGCCGTCCCATCATCCGCCCCGCCTCTGAAGTTATCAATCCACCAGCCCCCACCCCTCCTTCACCACCTCCTCCTCATCATCTCCTAGTCATCTTCACGGCTCCTGAATCTGAAGCATCAGCTACTTCTCTGCCACCAACCATACAGAATCTGCTCAACGGTTATACGGACGTGTTTCCCGATGATCTACCCGCCGAACTTCCACCCGAGCGTGCTATTGACCATAGCATCCGCCTCATTCCAGGTTCTACACCGCCCGTGCGCCCAACCTATCGCATGAGCACTGCTGAACTTTTGGAGCTACGGCGACAACTCGACGACCTTCTTGAGAAGGGTTTCATCCGCCCTAGCACCTCACCATACGCTGGCCCTGTGCTTTTCACTCGCAAGAAGGAAGGTGACCTGTGTCTTTGCATCGACTACCGCGCCCTCAACGCCATCACGATCAAGAATAAGTACCCGCTGCCCCGTGTCGAGGAGTTGTTCAACATGCTTGGGGAAGCAACTGTTTTTAGCAAGCTCGACCTACGATCCGGTTACCACCAGATCCGCCTCGCCGAAGACGACATCAGCAAGACGACGTTTCGAACCCGCTACGGCCACTTCAAGTTTCGAGTTCTTCCCTTCGGCCTCACCAACGCACCAGCCACGTTCATGGGACTTATGAACGACATTTTTCGGCCCTTCCTCGACCGCTTTGTCATCGTGTTCCTCGATGACATCCTCATTTTCAGCAAGTCACTCGAAGAACACGCTCAGCACCTACGCATCGTCCTCGACACGCTTCGCCAACACCGCCTCTACGCCAAGCTCTCCAAGTGCACCTTCGCCCGTTACAAGCATCAGCTTTCTCGGCCATGTCATCAGCTCCAAAGGCATTGCTATGGACCCCGCAAAGGTCCAGTGCCTTGCTGATTGGCCAGCACCACGCACGGTAGCGGAGCTGCAAAGTTTCATCGGCCTCGCCAAGTATTACCGGAAATTCATCTTCAACTTCTCTCACATCTGCGCCCCTTTAACCGATCTCTTCAAGGAGCCGTTTTTCAGTGGGGACTACCGCAGCAGACTGCTTTCACCGCAATCAAATCAGCACTCACCTCTGCACCGGTCCTCGCCGTCGCTGACCCATCGCGCCCATACTTCATATGGACCGATGCCTCCGATATCGCCGTTGGTGCCATTCTTTGCCAAGACCACGGCCATGGGATGCAGCCACTTGCATTCGAGTCATGCAAACTTCAACCGGTAGAGCACAACTACGCCACACACAATCGGGAGCTCCTTGCCATTGTCCACGCAATCAAGACATGGCGCTGTTACGTGGAGCTGCAGCCCGTCACCGTCTACACCGACCATCGCCCTCTTCAACACCTGAAAACACAGCCCGTGCTCAGCCGCCGCCAAGCCCGATGGGCTGAGTTTCTGAAGCAGTTCGTCCCCTCACTTCAGATCATCTACCGCCCCGGAAAACTCAACCCAGCTGACATCTTGTCTCGACCACCACCACCAGCCCCCACCGACCAGCCCAAACCAAAAACCAACCAGCCCCACCAAGCCCCAACCAGCCCCACCTCATCACCTCCACCTCACACTCCAAACCCACCCTTGCAACTCCATGGAACCAGCAGCATCACCTGGGATGATACCTTCATCACGAAATTTCAGCGCGCCTACAAACGTGACCTGTTTTTTGTCAAGCAAGCACCCGAGGACCCGGCCTACTTATTTGAAGACCCATTTCGGTACAACACCATCACTAAGACCATTTGTGTCCCTGCGGATCGCTCCTTACGGCAGCTGCTACTCTCCGAATACCACAACACCGTTACCGGCAGCCACTTTGGTGTTGAGAAGACCTACGCACGCCTCTCCAACGACTACCATTGGCCACGCATGCATGCCGATGTGCGTGCTTTGAGTTGTTGACTTCATGCACCACCAACCGCTACTGACTCCTTCAACCCATCCCTCCACCTTCCAAAGTGTGGGATGAAGTCACCATGGACTTCATCATGGACCTGCCCCGAACACCCCGCTGCTACAACGCCATCCTAGTCGTCGTCGACCGACTCTCCAAAATGAGCCACTTCATTCTTACCCACACAACCGTCACCGCACCCGAAACAGCCCGGCTCTTCTTCGATCACATAGTCCGCTTACACGGCCTCCCATCCGCCATCATTTCAGACCGCGACCCTCGCTTCTTGAGCAACTTTTGGAAAAGCCTCTTCAAGCTTCACGGCACAAGGCTGAAGTTTTCTACAGCGTATCACCCCAAAACGGACGGACAAACCGAACGGATGAACCGCACGCTTGAAGACGCCCCTCGTGCACAAGTTACCGCTCGCCAAGCTGATTGGGATCTCCACCTCACCGCCATCGAACTCGCATACAACAGCACACCCCACCTTTCCACCGGTCAGCCACCCTTCTACCTCGCAACCGGACAGCACCCACGCCTCCCCACAACCCCACCCTCCCACCTCTCACACTCACTAGCAGCCTTTGAGTTCCTCACTTCACTCGAATCAGCCATTGACGCCGCTCGCACCTCCATCTTTAAAGCACAAGCCAAACAGACCCACTATGCCAACTCCCACCGCAAAGATATCCGCTTCAAGGGCGATCAAGTGCTTCTCTCCACTGACCGCCTACCTCTCCTACGCAAAGGCACAACCAGAAAACTCGCCCCTCGCTTCATTGGCCCGTTCACCATCACCCGAGTCCTCTCACCAGTCACCTACCGTCTCCAACTGCCCAGCTATATGAAGATTCACCCCGTCTTCCATGTCCAGCGCCTCCGCCCTTTCCGTGCACCTTCACACGACTGTCCAGCCACACGCCAACTGCCACCGATGTTCGAAGGCAGCCCCGGCCTGTTTGAGGTTGCATCTATCGCTGCACATCGCGATACACCTCATGGTCGCGAGTTACTTGTTCATTGGAAGGACCAGCCCGCTAGTGACGCCTCGTGGGAACCAGAGAGCCACCTTGACCGTGCCGCAACTGCTGTGAATCGGTACTTGACCAGCCACGGTTTGGCGCCGTGGACGGCGCCACTTGGAGGGGGAAGTAATGTAACAGTGTGGCAGCCGAATGCTGCCAAGTACAGTGCAGGTGGGCGAAAGTCAAGCGCCACCTCACCAACTGTTCGTATTGGTCAAACGCCTCAACCTGCAGCTGGGCTACCAGATCCTGACGCGCAGCCCAAGTCAATCCCACGCACGAAAATTACGAAACGCAGAACACCGAAGTTCCGACCCCTCGCCGACTTCGCCAACCACACCGACGAAGTTACAGCCTTGTAATCAACTCGTCGACCAATCCCGCATCGCAATCAATCTCTGAATTTCACAGCAAGGTTCATTTCAAGGGGTAGAGTTACCAATAAGAAAGTCAGAGTGTCGCGACTTGGTAGTGCGACTCGATTTGTGAATGCATCCTATAAAATTGTGTGTGAAATTTGTTTAAGTCATATTGTAAATTCTAGAGAATTCCAGGGAGCATCTTGTACCCGTTACTCAAGCTTACTCAAGCCTACTAAGGCTGGTACCTTCCTGCCAGCAACGTTTCATCGCCAATGACGGGCGAATTAGCCTTAGGAAGTGTTACTCAGTTTAGAACATCACGCTATCCGTCAAAACAGACGGATAAATTGCCACTTGTTCAAATGTCGCAGTTCCTGGCTGGCCGATAGCTCGCCTTTCAAGGCATCGTTCGTCGGCGTGTTGACGCCATTTATCGTCTTATAATCGTCGCGTTTCGCCGTCGCCTTCCGCTCGCAGCTCGAAGCTCGACTGTCCGCTAGTCGTTGCGTGTCGCAGCCCAATCAGCGACGGTCGCCGCAGAACTGGCGTTGCTCGTTGCAACCAGCGCGTCGCGATCTGCTTGCTCGCTGCATCCTGCTCTCCGCTTTCAGCTCATCGCTTCCGCTCCTGCTTTCCGCACCCCGCTTTCAGCGTTGCCACTCGTGCGGTTCCGCTCGATGCTCGCCGTTTCCCCTGCTTCGCTCCGTTTCGCGGGCGTGAGCCGCGATTACGCGGGAGGCGCGGAAGGGAGGGAGAAGCGGTTTAGCGCAAGGCGTGGACGGGAGGTAGCAGGACGGGAGGGGCGAACGGGAGCAAGGAGCAATCTCGCGCGCGTGGCGGGCTGGAGCGAGCAGCGACGGGGAGGGAGAGGGTGCGAGGGGGACGGAAGGAGCCGCTTCTACCTGCTTCCCCGTCGGCCTCGCTTTCCCCCTCCCGTCGACCCCGCTTTCCCCCTCCCGTCGACCCCGCTTTCCCCTCCCGTCGACCCCGCTTTCCCCCTCCCGTCAACCTCGCTTTCCCCCTCCCGTCGACCTCACTTTCCCCCTCCCGTCGACCCCGCTTTCCCCCTCCCGTCGACCTCGCTTTCCCCCTCCCGTCGACCCCGCTTTCCCCCTCCCGTGGACCTCGCTTTCCCCCTCCCGTCGACTCCGCTTTCCCCCTCCCGTCGACCTCGCTTTCCCCCTCCCGTCGACCCCGCTTTCCCCCTCCCATCGACCTCGCTTTCCCTCTCCGGTCGACCTCGCTTTCCCCCTCCCGTCCCGCTTTCCCCCTGCTCACTCTCTTTCCCCCCTGTTCACTCTCTTTCCCCCTGCTCACTCTCTTCCCCCCTGCTCACTCTCTTTCCCCCTGCTCACTCTCTTTCCCCCTGCTCACTCTCTTTCCCCCTGCTCACTCTCTTTCCCCCTGCTCACTCTCGTCCCCCCTGCCCACTCTCTTCCCCCCTGTTCACTCTCTTTCCCCCTGCTCACTCACTTTCCCCCTGCTCACTCTCTTTCCCCCTGCTCACTCTCTTTCCCCCTGCTCACTCTCTTCCCCCCTGCTCACTCTCTTTCCCCCTGCTCACTCTCGTTCCCCCTGCTCACTCTCTTCCCCCCTGCTCACTCTCTTTCCCCCTGCTCACTCTCGTTCCCCCTGCTCACTCTCTTCCCCCCTGCTCACTCTCTTTCCCCCTGCTCACTCTCGTTCCCCCTGCTCACTCTCTTCCCCCCTGCTCACTCTCTTTCCCCCTGCTCACTCTCTTTCCCCCTGCTCACTCTCTTTCCCCCTGCTCACTCTCTTTCCCCCTGCTCACTCTCTTTCCCCCTGCTCACTCTCTTCCCCCCTGCTCACTCTCTTCCCCCCTGCTCACTCTCTTTCCCCCTGCTCACTCTCTTCCCCCCTGCTCACTCTCTTTCCCCCTGCTCACTCTCTTTCCCTCTCTGTTTGTCCCTCATTCTGTTTCCCCCTGCTCACACCCCTAATCAGCCCCTACTTTAGAGGTCAGTGCAATGCAATGGGAGAGGTGCAAGGGAGAGAGAGTTCATTCATGCCATGCACGCGTCCCACTCCCCCCTCGTTGGCTAAGCTCGCTGCTGTAGTGCCGTGGGCCACTGTCGCCATGCGCCTCCCCGCTCCCTCCTCTTCCCCACTCCGCTCTCGTACTCCCCTCTCCCCTCCCTGCCCTCTCTCCCCATCCTTCCCTTTCTCCCCTCCCTGTCCTGTCCTGTCCCCACTCCCCTCTCTCCTATCCCACCTCCCTGCCCTGTCCTGTCCCCCCGCTGCCCTGTCCTATCCCCCCTCTCCGTCCTGTCCTATCTCCTCACTCCTCCCTGTCCTATCTCCTCACTCCCTGTCCTATCTCCTCACTCCCTGTCCTATCTCCTCACTCCTGTCCTATCTCCTCACTCCCTGTCCTATCTCCTCACTCCCTGTCCTATCTCCTCACTCCCTGTCCTATCTCCTCACTCCTCCCTGTCCTATCTCCTCACTCCGCCCTGTCCTATCTCCTCACTCCGCCCTGCCCTATCTCCTCACTCCCTGTCCTATCTCCTCACTCCCTGTCCTATCTCCTCACTCCCTGTCCTATCTCCTCACTCCCTGTCCTATCTCCTCACTCCCTGTCCTATCTCCTCACTCCTCCCTGTCCTATCTCCTCACTCCGCCCTGTCCTATCTCCTCACTCCGCCCTGCCCTATCTCCTCACTCCCTGTCCTATCTCCTCACTCCCTGTCCTATCTCCTCACTCCCTGTCCTATCTCCTCACTCCCTGCCCTATCTCCTCACTCCCTGTCCTATCTCCTCACTCCCTGTCCTATCTCCTCACTCCCTGCCCTATCTCCTCACTCCCTGTCCTATCTCCTCACTCCCTGTCCTATCTCCTCACTCCCTGTCCTATCTCCTCACTCCCTGTCCTATCTCCTCACTCCCTGTCCTATATCCTCACTCCCCGTCCCATCCCCTCACCCCTCACCACTGCAGGCGAGCATGACACCGGCTCAGACAAGCTGCATGGATGTGTCGCCTCTTCTTGCTCCTGCTTTCAGCATGTCAGAGGCCCAGACAGGCTACATTGCGTACAGGGACCGTCAGCAGATTCAAATCGGAGCGAAGGCTTCCCTCCCTATCCTGATATGGCATGCTTATACCGTATAATGTGTACTCACATCTCACTAAATATATGGTTCTAAAATGTTCACATCTTGTCGTGTGATTTGGAGAAGGGGTTACACACAAAACCAAGAGGCTACCATGACAACAGCATGAACAGCAACTTGAGCACAGTATCAATATGTTATACCGGTAATCAGCCATTGGATGGCACGATGAGGCACACATTAGCCTAAAAAGAAATGAAATCGTACTTGATTGTTCTTGCTTCTGAGAATTCTCAGATGCTGCAGTGGCAGCAGCAGCAGTACTGGCAAGAGCAGTGGTAGCAGCAGTGCTCGCGGCTGCAGAAAAAGTGGAGGGAAAAGAGGTGGCTTGCTTGGCGAGGTTGAGAAGAGAGGCGAGGAGATCCCAAGGGCGCAGGTGAAGGCGTGTCTAGGAGCAGAAGCATCAGCAGGAGGGGCAACAGAAACAGCCATCGTTGAGCACGCGACTAAGGGAGGAGTGGACAGCCAGTTCCCATGCCACCATCTCCCTCGCTTGCCTTGCTGCCGCCCCCTTGCCCCTCCTTGGCACGCCCCAGCAGCGCAGCAGATAGTAGGGCAGGGGGCGAGTTGATGGGGTGAGAGCATAGGGTGAGAGCATGGGGTGAGAGCATGGGGTGAGAGCATAGGGTGAGAGCATGGGGTGAGAGCATGGGGTGAGAGCATGGGGTGAGAGCATAGGGTGAGAGCATGGGGTGAGAGCATGGGGTGAGAGCATGGGGTGAGAGCATGGGGTGAGAGCATGGGGTGAGAGCATGGGGTGAGAGCATAGGGTGAGAGCATGGGGTGAGAGCATGGGGTGAGAGCATGGGGTGAGAGCATGGGGTGAGAGCATGGGGTGAGAGCATGGGTTGAGAGCATGGGGTGAGAGCATGGGGTGAGAGCTTGGGGTGAGAGCATGGGGTGAGAGCATGGGGTGAGAGCATGGGGTGAGAGCATAGGGTGAGAGCATGGGGTGAGAGCATGGGGTGAGAGCATGGGGTGAGAGCATGGGGTGAGAGCATGGTTTGAGAGGCATGGGATGAGAGGCATGTGATGAGAGCAATGGACAGGCAGGTGACTGTTGAGCCATTGGGGGTGGTGAGGTGATTGGAATTTGGGAGGAGAGAAAGGAACACAGAAAATCTCAAAGAGACAGAAAAAAAAGGGGCCGGATGGGAAGGGGAGCGGAGGGGAGGTTTGCTGAGGGGAAAGAGGAGGTGCGACCTGGAAGAGAGGGGAGGAGCGACCTGGGGGAAGGGGAGGAGCGACCTGGGGGGAAGGGGAGGAGCGATCTGGGGGAAGGGGAGGAGCGACCTGGGGGAAAGCGGAGGTGCGACCTGGGGGAAAGGGGAGGTGCGTCCTGGGGGAAAGAGGAGGTGCGACCTGGAAGAGAGGGGAAGAGCGATCTGGGGGAAGGGGAGGAGCGACATGGGGGAAAGGAAAAGTGCGACCTGGGGGGAAGGGGAGGAGCGACTTGGGGGGAAGGGGAAGCGCGACCGGGGAAAGGGGAAGCGCGACATGGGGGAAAGGGGAAACGCGAGCTGGGGCGAAGGGGGAGTGCGACCTGGGGGCGAGGGGAGGAGAGACTTGGGGCGGAAGGGGAGTGCGACCTGCGGGACAGATGGGAGGACCTGGACAGGGGTTTCGTCTCTAGGGACGAAACCCCTGTCCTCCTCAGTCATGGGAAGGGGAGTAGGGAAAAGAAAAGAGAATGGGTTTCGTCCCTGGAGGCGACGAGGCGAAGGCGATGGCGGCGATGCGGCAGGCGACGATTTGGCGATAATGCGCCGATGAGGCGGCACTGGAGGTCGCACGGCCACGGCGAGAAGCAGCGCGGAGGCGAGTTTAGCGGATCAGGGAACACATAGTGCGAGGTGCGACGAGGAGGCGAGGCGGGGAGGCAAGAGGCGAGGAGGCTAGGACGCTCGGAAGTTGGGGAGGCGGTTGCGAGGTGGCGACTCGGCGATAAGGCAGCGACGACGGAAGGACGATGCGCCCGCTGTTTATGACTTCGTGAGCTAGTCGCGATATCACCAGCAACATACGACGAGGCTTGCGAGTACGCTTGGGGGGAGGAGACTCTACCCTCCGGGCTCTATCGGCGTGGCGATAGGGAAAGCTATGGTAGTTTATGTGTAACGGTGATACCTAAGTGGTCTAGATGTAAGTTTGCTTTCACTGTCGGGTTGTTGTTTATCCCATGGCTTCATTCCCTGGTTGCGCCAGATGCTTGGTTTCCGCCGTTCCGCGGTGTTATTGCCCAGCCCAATCCGCGTACGAAATTGATTGGCCTCGCCAACCAAGTTTGAATCCCTCGCACCAGCTTTCTGTACCCCTAATCATTTTGCTATCCAATCAAACCCCATCGAAGGGTGTGCTCTAAAAATTCCCCCAAAAACCACCCCCAGGAATGTGCACCCTTGCTTTAAGGGCTTTCCAACGATATGCTGCACGCCTTGATCGGCCAACTTTGACCGAGCCTCTCCGTGAATGGATGTCGCTCCTCTCGTCCTCCCAAACGGATCCACACGATTTCCAGCGGGTTTCATTTCTCCTCCTCCCCTTCCACGTCCAAAGTCCGCCACGGTGCAATTTCGGCAGCCTTTCGGGAGGGATGGAAGCTATTTAGCTTCCACCAAGGTATTATGGTCCAATTCCTTGAGTAGCTCCTATTCCAACAGATTGCTAGACCTATCCTTGCTCTGATACCATATTGGAATGGTCTAAGCTACTAGCGGAAGCTATAGTAGTCTTAGAACCAACTCCTAAAGTCTAGGAATCTTAGGAGCCAACTTAGGCATGAACCATGCTAGAACTAAAGGGGTTTCCAAGAAGTGAAGTTCCAACAAGAGTGATCCCTAACCTATAAGGTTTGGGAGGTGGTCCACTCCAAAGAGTGTGCACCACAAGTTCTCCCAACCCAACCAATGTATTCTACACTACTATAGTGTAGATCTAGCACTACATATGTTTGTTGGAGCAACCCATAATTCCAACACTTCTTCGATAGACCTTGTAAATTATGATAAGACATTGAGTTGGCATTTGAGAAGCGTAGGATTTGCTCAATCAATGACGAATGGTATGAAGATGGGGGAGGCTAGTTTACTTGGTAACATTCATGTTTGCACTGCCAGTTGAACCATACTCTCCAAGCTCCTCGGGTCGTAGAAACATGGGGGCTTTGGTGCCACTGCCTTTTGAGCTGCCACTGCCTTTTGAGTCACCTCAACAGTCTTGTTGAGGCGTCTCAAAAGTCATCCTCTCCAAGCTTCTCGGGTCGTACAAACATGGGGTCTTTGTGCCACCGCCCGTTCCACCGTGATGTGTGCTCTCTCAAATATAGTGTGCTCTGCTATTTTGAGGGCCCACCCTCAGAAGAGATTGCATGAGCCATTGATCCCCTCCCGTTTCGTACCCACGCGCTCCTCACCCACCCACCTATCCTCCAATCTCACGTCCTGCCTCCCCCCATCCCCCTTTGCGCACATGCGAAACTCCCATCGCTCCTCTCTCTCCCACTTGTAGTCCCTCCCTCACGCCTTTCCCCTCTCTACCTAACGTTATTACCCAGCTAATAGACCCCCCAAAATTATAGCCCCCTGGGTCGTTAAATGGGGGCGGGTCTAATGCTATCTCCACTTTCGTAATAAACCCGCCCATACTGTAAACACCTCATTATCGAGTGAGGTTGTAGGAGGGCCGATATCAGGGGACCCAAAAACTCCAGTTGACTAGTACGAATCTTCCACACCCATGTTTCCCGCTCTCGTGAAATCGATATTAAGCCTTCACGCGATATCAGATGGGTGCTTTTGTGCTGAAAAAATAACTTCACCTAAAATAACGGCAAACCCGTGGGCTCCCTTAGCGCGAAAGATCCCTTCCTTTTCTCCCGCCAGGTCAAGGTGGGCCACATTGTTCGTGCATATGCATGTGGCCTTGGCCCCACCCTGGAATCAAAATCATCACCTCCTCTCAGGCTGTTGGGTCCTGCGGCCATCCCATCTTCATGATGGCCAGCGTTCCGCTAAACCCCCGTCATCGCACCCTTCCCAGGTACGGTCCATCCCTTCAGAAAAGCTTCACTCCTCCCCCTCCCTCCCCTTGAAAGTGTTGTCAAATTATGCACTTATAGTGCTGTAGTCTATACTGCGGTACACTGTAGAGGGGACAACCCTTTTAGGGTTTACTACTTGTATCCCCATCCGGCATAGTTCATTCATTCATGTCTTCCTACTCTGACATGGTATTAGATCATGATCATTCCTAGGGCCCACCTATGGTATTAGAGCATGATCGTTCCTAGGGCCCACCGAACGTTCCGCCCTGCCCTGCCCGTAATTTTTTTCGGCCCTGCCCTTAGGCCCGCGCGCAGTCCTGCGCTGCAGCCCGCGCGCTACGCTGCCCTGCCCTTAGGCCCGCGCGCAGCCCTGCCCTGCCCTGCAGCCGCGCTCGCCTCTGCAGCCCGCGCTCGCCTCTGCAGCCTGAGCTTGCCCCATGCAGCCGCGCTCGCCCCTGCAGCCCGCGCTCGCCCCTGCAGCCGCGCTCGCCCCTGTAGCCTGCGCTCGCCCCTGCAGCCTGCGCTCGCCCCTGCCGCCCGCGCTCGCCCCTGCAGCCCGCGTTCGCCCCTGCAGCCACGCTCACCTCTGCAGCCCGCACTCGCCCCTGCAGCCGCGCTCGCCCCTGCAGCCCACGCTCGCCCCTGCAGCTTGCGCTCGCCCCTGCAGCCGCGCTCGCCTCTGCAGCCTGTACTAGCCCCTGCAGCCCGCGCTCGCCCCTGCAACCGTGCTCGCCCCTACAGCCCGCGCTCGCCCCTGCAGCCGCACTCGCCCCTGCAGCCGCGCTCACCCCTGCGGCCCGCGCTCGCCCCTGCAGCCGCTCTCGCCCCTGCAGCCTGTGCTCGCCCCCGCAGCCCGCGCTCGCCCCTGCAGCCGCGCTCGCCCCTGTAGCCCGCACTCGCCCCCGCAGGTGCTGCCTACGCCATGTGCCCTGCCCTGCTTGCGCCACGCGCCCTGCCCTGCCAGCGCGCCACGCGCCCTGCCCTGCCTGCGCCACGCGCCAGCGCCCTGCCCTGCCCGCGCCAGCGCCCTGCCCGCGCCAGCGCCCTGCACTGTCCGCGCCAGCGCTGCCCTGCACGCTGCCCAGCCCTGCCTTGCCCAGCCTGGCTGTTGCTAGAGCTGCCCTGCACGCTGCCCGGCGCTGACCTGCCCTGCATGCTCGCGCAGCCTGCGCGCTCCTCCCCTGCCCCGAGCGTACCGCCAACTGCCGCTACCGCCTGCGCACGCTCCTATAGTTGCTACCGCTACTGCTCCTACCACTGCTGCCACTGCATCTACCGTTCCAGCTACAGCAATTGCAGTCGCTACTTTAAACTGTGCGCCGGACCTGCTGCCTGACACTGCCTACCATGGCCATTATCATTGTCATACGTCAGTGGCAGCCGAGTGTGCAGGAGTCTCCCTCGCCGCAGCAGCTTCGCGAGTGGGCTATTTGGTGGGGCAGCCCCGGTGGCGGAGCTAGCCGTGCTCGTCGGCGGAAGCCGCTTCGTGAGTGGGCTGTCCGGTGGGGTGCTACTACTAGAGGTACCTGTGAGTCTACTCCTGCTGGTAGTGTTACTAGTAGACGAGGAGGTTCTGGGGGTGGACAGCAGCAGCAGCAGCGCCCGCTGGAGACTCTCTCCTTGCAGCAGCTTCGTGAATGGGCTGTCCGGTGGGGCAGCCCCGGTGGCGGAGGGTTTCGGGGTACTCGAACGGGGGGTGTAGAGGCACCTGGTGGCGTAGAGGCTACTAGTCTCGGTGCGTGTGACTCAGCTAGCACAGGGGCAGAGCTTGAGGAGGCCTTGCACACTTTTACCCTAGACTCAGGCGCGCCTTCCGCGACAGCACCACAGTCACACCACTCACAGCCCCTGTCCCTGTCACATTGGCCGACCCCTCCGGGGGCCCGGTCGTCGCGCGTGGTGCCACTGTTCTCCCCTGTACGGCGGCCCCTTCCGGCCTCCTTACAGGTCTCCACCTCCCCTCGTTCACTAAGAACTTGGTAGCTACCTCTGTCCTCCAGGACCAGTGGGTCACTGTCACCCAGCCTGGAGGCGAGCTCGTGGCGATCTGTACGGACTCGCGCACTGGTGAGCACATCGCCACGTTCCCTCGGAGGCCTGGGTCTAGCCTGTACACACTGACCACTGAGTCTGCCCTGGTAGCTGAGTTAGGTCAGGTAGCTGCGTAGGTTGAGGTCACTGCGTCTTGTTCATGTCGTCTCCTCACGCACCAGACTCCTCTGGCACCACCGTCTTGGCCACCCCTCCTTGCAACGCCTGCATGGCATGCACTCCCGACTCCTTGTGGCAGGTCTCCCCAAGGCCCTGCCCCCGCTTCCGAGGTCTCTTGCACCGCCCTGCCTTCCCTGCGTCGAGGCGCGGCAGCGCGCTGCTCCTCACTCCTCCTCGTTTCCTCCTACCACTGCTCCTCTGCAGACCCTGCACATGGACGTGTGGGGCCCCGCCTGCATCACTGGACAGGGTGGCGAGCGCTACTTTCTGCTGATTGTCGACGACTACACACGCTACACCACGGTCTCCCCCTTGCAGAGCAAGGCGGATGTCCGCGATATCTTGATCCGCTGGATCCGCACTGTCCGTCTCCAGCTTCGCGCTCGGTTCCGTGAGGACCTTCCAGTCCTGCGGCTGCACTCTGACCGAGGTGGTGAGTTTTTCTCCCGCCTCCTCGAAGACTTATGTGGTGCTAAGGGCATCGTCCAGTCGTACACGCTTCCGGCCTCTCCACAGCAGAATGGGATTGCCGAGCGCCGCATTGGTCTAGTCATGGAGGTTTCTCGCACCTCCATGATCCATGCGGCTGCTCCCCATTTTCTATGGCCGTTTGCAGTCCGATACGCTGCTGAGCAGCTCAACCTCTTACCCCGTGTCTCCCACCCGGAGACCTCCCCCACCTTGCAGTGGACGGGCGAGGTTGGTGATGTGTCGGCGTTTCGGGTCTGGGGTTCCCTCTCTCTTGTCCGTGACTTGCCTGCGGGCAAGCTCTCTCCACGCACTCTTCGGTACGTGTTCCTTTGCTTTCCCACCAACGCACGCCGCCTTGGCAGTTTTACCACCCGGCCTCTCGTCGTGTGCTATCCTCCCGCGACGTCACCTTTGACGAGTTCGTCTGCTTCTACCATCTTCACCCCCACCGCAATTCCCCGGTACCCCTCTCGCCTCTCTCCCTGGTGGACGACCCCCCCCGGTAGCCCCCCTCCCTCCTACCGGTCCCACTCCCTCAGGTGTGTCTCAGGTAGAGCCACCCCCCTTGGTTGAGCCTTTGGAGGTCTCCTCAGACACCTCTGGCCCAGCTGAGGGGGGTGACCAGACTGCTACTGACACCGTGGCCCCTCGCCGCTCCGCACACTTGGCGGCCCCTCCTGGCTTTCCGCCTCGACCGTCTTCACCGCCTCTGCGGCTCGTCGCTGTGGACTCTGGTGCTGCTGGAGGTGGTGACACTGGGGGTGCGGACTCTGGGGGTGCTGCGAGTCCTATGGGTGCAGGGGGTGGAGGTGGTGCTGCTGGAGGTTCTGTGGGTGGAGGTGCTGGTGGTGCTGGTGCACGTCGGCAGGAGACTCTCTCGCCGGAGCAGATTCATGAGTGGGCTGTCCGTTGGGGCAGTCCTGGTGGTGGCGCTGGACGTGCTAGAGCTGCATTTTCTGGAGGTACTGGCCCTGGAGGTGCTAGTACTGGTGTTCCTGGAGTTGGCCGTGCTGGAGGTACTGGTGCTGAAGGCACATGTACTACTGGAGGTACTGGAGGTGCTGCTGCTGTGGGCGCTTCTGCGGGTAAACCTGGCTCACGTCGCCATGAGTCTCTCTCGCCGGAGCGGCTTCGCGAGTGGCTGTCCGTTGGGGCAGTCCTGGTGGTGGCGCTGGACGTGCTAGAGCTGCAGATTCTGGAGGTGCTGGCCTTGGAGGTGCTAGTGCTGGTGTTCCTGGAGTTGGTCGTGCGAGAGGTACTGGTACTAGAGGCACAGGTGCTACTGGAGGTGCTGGCCCTGTAGGTGCTTGTGCTGTTGTTCCTAGAGTTGGAGGTACTGGCGGTGCTGACACTGGGGGTGCTACTAGAGGTACTGGATTTGGTGGTACTCGTCGGCAGGAGTCACTCTCGCCGCAGCAGCTTCGCGAGTGGG